GTAATCATACATGTCGCCACTACATTTTAAGTTAAATGGAATGAAGTTTGGCCGCCACCATTCATTTTAGTTTTTTATCAGACTTGTGTTTTCTTAAAAAGAAGTGGTTTTCTGGCTAGGAAAATAGCAAGGAAGAAACCGGTTTTGTGCAAGCAAAATTCAGGGAACAATCTGTTGATACTAATAACTTGTTGGAAAGTTCCAAAGTCATTCCAAGAAAGTTGCCGCCGTGAATTAGGGTTTAAAACAAGGGAGGAGGATGGGATTTGCTATCAGCACCAGCAGGGCCGTTCCTCATTCTTTTCTCTTTATGGGATGTATGATAAAATTGGAGTACGATTGGCTCTGCGAGCTGATGAATCTTTTTGAAAACATTGTATTTGCAACCAGCTAGGGAAGATTTCCGTTTATTTAAGACTTACAAGCACTGGTATGGATACCTGTGTAATTATATGACTAAACTGCCTAGAGCGTATTTGTTAAGGTTTTTTTTCCTTTTTTGGAAATTCAATACGCATATAGGGAGTAAAATCAGTTCCGCTGCTGGGTTGCGGTGATGGGTGGGTTATAACACATACCTCGCCAGCGGGCCCATTAGATTGGTGATAACCGGAGAGCGTGAATTTCAAAAAACTCATCCGGTGTTTAGGCGACGCAGGGACTGGTTTGGTACATGTGGTTTTTGTTTCTAGTTCACTTAATGATTTGATTTATACCAGTGTTGTAGTCGAGACCGGATAGTCCGAGACCGAGACCAAGACCGAGACCTGAAGTTGCGAGACCGAGACCGAGACCGAGACCAGACCCTTCAAGGCGGACCGAGACCGAGACCGAAATGGTCCGAGACCGAGACCGAGACCGAGACCGCGGATAATAAATAACAATAATCTAAATAAACATCAAGACACTAATTACAGCTGAACAGTCTGTCCTTGAGATGTTGATGTTCATGAGGATGTGAAGGAAGTGATTGAAAGTTAGGAATCACTTGTACCTGCTTAATTGTGTCATGCGAGTGCTCTTCGTGTTTGTTTCATGCCATAAATTACAACATGGCAACAGAATTTGTTATTGTCCCAATCATTAAAAAAATTGGAAGCAACCTAATTTAAAGAAGGGGAAAACCTTATTTGATGAACTCCATATATTTTTGCCACTTTAATTTTTTTTTTTTTTACAAATATTGTTTAACTACTATAAAGTGTAAATCTGATGAAGAAACTCTAACTTAGGAGTATGATAATTTGTACTAGTTTTTGCAAAACTTGAACATGTTGAAACTTGACAAAAGTAAAAAAAATAAAGGTGGATGTTTCATCTGTTATAGGAACTCGGACCCTAAACTCCACAGCCACCCCCTGGTTTCAGCAATGACCACTAACGGATATTTTAATTTTACATTGAAACCTCCTTGTAAACCTGATTCGAAAAAAATTTGGAGCAAGAAAATATTGATTTATTTCAGTCATGGAATATAGATTTGTACAAAAAAATTGAGAGATGGTGGCCGGATATGGATTGATCTGCCCCCCCCCCCACATCCCTCTTTGTGATTCTCCTTCCAACCCTGCATGTTTGTGTGTCCCCTACGTGTTGTTTCTTGTTCATCTGTCATTTACCGCTGAAGAAGGCCTGGCTAAGGCTGAAATGTAATGCCACTTTATTTTTGTTTAATGTCAATAACGTTACATATACTATAGAAGATTGATGAACCATATTTGCCTGATCTATCTTCTGTTATTCAGCCCGCCGTCATCATCGCCATTAGCCTATTTGAGAATATGGCTGACACAATAGAATGGCGCTGTCACAAACTGAATGTGGTGGGCGAGATGTACTTTTGGGATTCATGGCTCAGTGCGCACGCCTCTCTGTGTTTTGTACCGTGCCAGCGTATCGCCTGCATCGGCTACTTTGCCGGGCGATTTACTTGAATATTTTAGTGATTAACAAGTACGACATATTGCCAATATATTAATAGTTTATTGTGATGGCCGTAAACAGCATATAGCGATTAATGGAACACAATTCTTCCCGACTCATATGCAAATGCAATTGACATTTAGGAAGGAGACGAGGCAGGCAATTAGACTCTATTTTTGTGTTACCATGGCAGTAGCTCAATTTGTGTTTATCACAGATGAAAAGATGAATACATGGCGAGTCAAAAAGAAAGTGACAGTATGAAAAAAAATAAAATGGCACGCTCCATTTTGTAAAAAAATACAATTGGGATAAAGAACATGTTATTGAGTAGTAACTGTGAACATTTCACGTAATTTGCATACTCTATTCCCAAGTCGTGTCTATTTTAATAAAGAGATCACAAAATTCAGCTGTCCACCATTAATACCAATTTAACGATCTACGAATTGATGAATATCCATTAATAAATATAATGAAAAAAAAACCTTTTCCTGCCTCCACGAATAACGGAAAAATTAAAAAGGAAAATAAAAAAATATCACCAATATTTCTAGAGATAAAGAGTTGAATTGTTCCCCATATTCAAAATACAAAATCTGACGGTAAAAATAATGTTTCAGTCTTGATTCATAAGATTTAAATCTCAGTTGTATTTGGAATCAATGAGGATGGCTATAAAGTGCTTGTTTCAACAGATCGTCCCACAATAAAAACGAGAAATAAGAAGAGGAGCAATGGTTATTGGACTATGCCTCACTCACTAGAAAAAGAAGAGAGACATGTCCATTAGCATCACACTGCAGTCACATTTGCCCTAAACTGATTCTTTACTTAACCCTAAAAGGGCCGGGGGCGGAATCCGCCCCCTCACTTTTTGGCTGGTCTCGACTCGAGACCAGCCAAAATATCGAGACCAAAGGGGACCGAAACCGAGACCAAGACCGAGACCACAGCTCCCGAGACCAAGACCGAGACCGAGACCGGCAAAAAGTGGTCTCGAGACCGAGACAGAGACCGAGACCGGTCTCGAGACCTACAACACTGATTTATACCGGTGAATGAAAGTACAGGAAGAAAGAAATCATTGCATTTCAGAAAGCAAACCGGTATACATTTGTGTATAGTAAACGGTTGAAATTATTAGATCGGGTTATTTGAAACAATGACAAATTTGCTTCAGGATGCATGTTTTTACATGTATGCCCAACCTTGGGTTATGGTTAGCCTGAACATGAATTATAAAAGATGAGTGAAAAACAGAGAGCCTTGAGTCATGATAAAATCACTACAAGGTAGACGCCCAGGTTAAGTGACATTAAACAGCCGTCAGATTGAAACTCCTTCATATTTACTGTGGTGGTCTGCCCTACTTTGATTCTAGGCATGGGGTCCGTCCACTTATTAAAGATGGATGAAGCTGGACACCAATCAGTGACTTCTCATTGTTTATTCAAAGATGCAAGGAAAACAGAAAGCATTGAAATGAAAAATAAGTATTGCCTATTTTCTATAAATTTTTAAGATATGCTACAGCTTGATAATCATATCTTGGTTCTAGACAAACTTTCAGCTGTTTTCGAAAATGAATTAAATGAATCAAAACCTTACCCGAGGGTCAGTCAAGCCGTAATGTTGTCTCGTAAATCGAGTGGTGACTGCACGTTCTGCCTGCACTGTGAAAATACATAGAACTACACGTGGTTACACATATACGCAGGAAGCTTTATTTTGTATACAAGGTTTTGGTAAAGTTTACACTAATAAAATGAAAAAAAGGAAGCTGGAAGATTGTCTGATGTAGATCTATAATTAATCCTTGCTTAATAAATACTCACTTTCTGGAACTTTAATCACCAACACTGCACAATTCCGTTCAATTTTAGGCTGGTTGTCACTCCCAGACATTGACATGCTCCATCCAATGCATGTGTGCCATTTTCTCTCCGTGCTCTACACACAACATGATTTCTCATCGGGGAAAATCCCCCAGCACGCAATAAACAGCAGCGGTGTCATAGCAGAAAAAGAACCCCACATATTACCCGAGCGATTTTGTGTGCATGCACAACCGCGGTTTCCTATAATAGCGAGACTCCCTCATAAATAGAGATAAATATCCGATATAATTATCTTTGAACCTAGTTGCCTCCCACTGGAAATTGGTTTGCTATGGTCAATGGGTTTAACATTAAATGGCCCATACGCATTTCGCTCGTACCCCCCCCCCCCCGCCCTGCAAACAGAACGCTGGGATACTCTGATGAATTCACGCTCTGATTGGTTGGATTTTGCGTGACCAGTGACCTGCGCGTCATCACGGTCATGACTCTGCAAGGTTTGAAACGGCTGTTAAGACTGATTCATTACTCTTTTGTTCTTTTTTTTTCGTTTAAAAATGTAATAATGTAGGAAATTCTGTAAAACTTACGTGTGTTGTAAATTTACAATTCCAGTCACTTGGTCAGGCTCCGTTTCGAATCACGAACGGTCGGATTGCATTATGCGACGTTCAAAATGTTTGTCCACATGGGCCGCAATGAAACAGAAATCACATCTGGCATGGAATGTGCGCATTTCTATGGGAAGTTTTCATTTACGCACATTGTCTAACTGCGGTCTTGAACAGCTGCAGCCAGATGCTTCATACATAGGTCATAGGCCACTTCCTTCACAAGATTCTGTTAAGCTCATCAGAGTATCCCAGCGTCCTGTTTGCAGGGCGGGGGGTACGAGCGAACATCCGCTATGGTAACTGCTGGATAGAAATACCGATACATATCCGATACCTCTTTAGACTTTGTGCCAAGTCGGCAATTGTTTTGCATACGGTGACAGGTTACTGGCTCCACGAACTAAAAAATATATCGCTGCAATGCACGTAGTCTGGTTCCCAGACTAAATGATGCTAGCTATTGATGTTCAATTACCGACTTGGCAAATACGTTTTCAATTTTGTACACACACATGGGAGTATTTTGAATCGCTAGCGAATTCTATGCGAGCACTCAATGAAAAATCTCATGCATTGTGGAGCTTATTGTTTGACTGCTATTAGTTATATTGTACGAAAACAGAATACAGCCTTTTGCATTTTGTGGTAATTGCACTGAACTCAATTCTCATATTTTTTTCTGGCAAAAATAACATCTCGACTTAATCGCAAGAGCGCCCGCACTTTTTTCTCCCTAATTAATACTTAAAACCGGTACATCCGGTTATTACGGGCTACAAACGCGATAAGATTTGTACACATTTGTACTGTTGGAATGTGAAGCTAGAAGCCCCCAAAGAAGACAAAGAGATGAGCGACCGAGGCCACTGAAACGACGTTGTTTTCCGGGTGTAAACACTAGAAACATCCCTTTCACTGAAACAACACAGTAACTGACTTAAATCTTAAAATGTATCGACTGCAAAAATGTCATTTTTGTTGCTGAATCGGTGTATATAAGCTGAAGCCAATAAGCTCTGATTCAATAACTACCTGCAAATTGTACTGATTTGTCTTGCTTGATTTTCTTTTCAAAATTGTCATGAACTGCAAGATGCCATTCTTATTTGGATTTTGAGTGGAATATTGGAAATGTATTAACAGGAAATGATCTCATATGCCTGTTAAAAGGAAACAACAGTAATAGAAGAATGGCAGGAAGCCAACAAGTGCTCAATTGACCAAGCATATAATTTACAAACTGAAACAATTTTATTTTACCATTCTTAACCAACTTCTCACCATATAATTTAAACATCAAGCAAAACCTCAGGATACCAATACATTGCATCACCTTAATTACTAATTAAGTTCAATTTTAAATTGTGGTAATCGGAGGTTCAAATACGCCGACAAATTCTAAACAGTGTGCAACAATTTGCTAATATTCAATTAAAACAAATACGACATTACCCAAATTGTCACAGTAAGAACTCTTTAGGCCCTATGTAAATTTAAAGCGAAATTTTAAAAAGTACTTAAATTTTCCTTACATTTGTATTTTAATGAATACCATATTCCTTCATATCGTAAAAGGGCCCACAGTTGTCCCGAACCTTTGGGAAAACAACAACAACAATGGTCCAGGATTGTAGACTACACGTAGAGTGCTTGAGTGTTTGTTTTGCTTTGCTTTTGTGCTTGGGAATAGCTTCAAGTTGCTCCCTGTACTATTTACGAGTTTTACCCATACCAACTCAGATATTTATTTTCAAACTGCTTGTTTTCTTCAAATAGAACAACATTTATTCACTTTTGACTTGCTCATCGAACAAGTATACAACGTCCAGTTATGGAATAATCGCAATTCACATTTTGATTCATTTATGGACCGATAATTATTCAGGCATATCCTTTGTGCGTTATTGGCGCAAAAGCAGCCAACAAATAAAAATGTATTTTCAGAGGGTTGCATTATGAAAAAAAATAGAACAAAGTAGCTTTTTTGCGTTTGGATAAAACATAGTTTAAAAAAATAAAGAGACGAAAAATCGAATAAGATTGATTGGGGTATTGTGGACACTCCACTCTCCTTCAGTACCGCCACTGATTGCTAAGGCTTACACACTAACACCTGTTGGCCCCTCATCTCCTTGTCTCCATAGTTAAAGTGCAGTGAAGTCACAGCGATGGGTGAGGCACAGGTCTCTGGCACAACTACACCGGAAGGGAAGCGAGTATCCAGGCAAATGACAAGCTTCCTGTCTCTCATGGGAGAATACTCCATTTGGAGCTCCGAGCACAGTCGGAATGTCTGGTTCGGATCGTCTGCGAATCGCAACAAGACCAACAACAACAAATTTTAGGGGTAGAAAACATCTTCTACTAAACCTTTTCTGAGGAATCCCACTTATTTACTGGTGTATGTAATAGAGTACCGAATTGTGACGTCATTTACAACCAGAAAGTTTAGCGCAAAGGTATGGAGTACGCGGGCATGTTCGGGCTGAATCAGGCGCTAATGTCTTTTTACACACATAATTGTGCGCGTGATCTCCTCACTTCGTACTCTATAGATCCTGGCCCTAGCAAAGCCTAGTCTGTGTAATAGAAAGCCATGGTCTATGATATGTGAGCAGATTCGCTGATTAGTTTGGCAAGACCCCGCCTCTTAACCTGTTTGATTTTGACAAATCAGCGGGCGTTTTCTATATCGGGTCTTTGGTCATTCCATCGTTGCGCGTCATAGACAATGGATAAAAAACCTGTGTCATGCGCTCTGTATCATTTTATACGCGATATGCCCCGGCTGTTGTTGTATTACAAAACACTGTAATGGAATTAACCAATCAAACCATTTAGTCCTGATTTGGGAATGAAATGACGTCACAATTTAGTAAAGTCGACTCCGATTGGCTGGCGCGCGGCTTGCATATATCTGCATGTCTAGACAATTCAGACCTTATACAGGACTTGGCTCCGTGGATAACGGGTGATTCTTATACTAGGCAAAGCCGACCATGGTCTATGCAACTATAGACTGCGTATGACCTCGAAAAACTGACCAATCAGCAGGCGCGTAATTCGAGCTCCCCGCGTGCGTAACCATCACGCCCACGATGATTACCTTTTTTTTTACAGGTTGTTGTATTACAAAACGTGGCATCAAAATTGACCAATCACAATCTTAGTCCTGATTTTGGAATGAAATGACGTCACGCATGCTTAGATATATCAGACATTAGACAGGAGACTGGGCTCCGTAGATAACGGGTGATACTCAGACTACTTATTTTGATGCGCATTAGACAACCCATGTTCTGCCCCTAATATTTCACAAACTATGGCATCTTTGATAATTATAAAAATATACATGGGTGAGATTTGCTTACTGTTTCTTTTGACACCTGTGTTGAAAAAAAAATGAGAAATGAAACAAAGATTGAACAAGAGCCCTGGGTCACAGTTTTCCATTCAAGATTGATTGAAACTACCTCACCGGTATATCTTGGAATTGTGTGTGATTCAAAACTCCCTTAAAGAAGTCACAAACGGCTTCAATTCGAGGCCATTGGATGCTTTGTTTATATTACTTAATGGTTTTTAAGACGTTTCGTGTATATAAGACAAACGCACTGAAATTATTGCCGTCCATGGTAGAAATAAATATATTTTCCTAGGCGCAGCTGCAAAATATAAATATTTCATCTTATTGATTATTCAGTATATGTTCGTTCGTTTGCAAATCTTGCTCTTTGCAGTTAACCTATGAAATACAATACTAGTTGAACACAATCATAAAATCTGATACGCCGGCGTTTTCGTGCGTTTTGTTTGTTTTGTGGGTGATTTTGTTGGTAAGCTGGGTTGTTTGTTGGGGGCCGTTTGATGTGTTTGTTTGTTTGTTTTTGATATTGTCACTCACCTTGAATGATGGAGTATTTGTCTTCAAAACGTCCGGCTAAGTTGGCGAATTCCAACTTGTAGGGTTCGGTCGTATATTGGATCACGTCTACAAATCAATTTTACCAAAATACCAACACTTTGAAGTATACCGAATTTAACGTATTAAAAAAAGGTTAGTTTTGGTATTTTTATTACGATATGACTATTTAATTCAAATATATTTCTATATATTTTAATGAGCACTGATTGAGCTAATTGGTTGCCATTTATCATCAATTCAAACGTAAATAGCGGAAAAACACTTTTATCAATGTGCAAACTACCACAGTCTAGGCTCAGAACGGAAGTTATCTAACTACAACAAATTACAAATTTCAAAAGCTAAACTGTATATAGCCTACATGAACGTATCCTCTGAATACTTACATGCTTCTAGCATAGACCTTGAATAATGCAACAGGCCGCGGACATTTATTGTAATTGATGTGAAATATTAAACAACTGAATTTCCATAAACTCATACATAATTATTTTGCATTTTTGTAAAATGCAAAGGTCGCACTTGTTTTGTGCGAATGAATGGGTAGGCCTACATGCGTCCCTTTTTTCAAAATTGTCAGTTTTTTTTCCGAACGAGATTTAAAGGAAGATATTGTTCTGTAACAAAATGCATTCGCTCGTCCGTTTTGCAGGCTTTTTGCAGTTTTAAAAAGTGATTTGAAAAGGGGTGCTCCTGTTCAGAAAGTTTTGAGCGAATGATGCTCTAAACATTCATAGTGACGTATCAGCTCATACATTATGTATGTTAATTTTGGAATCACACGTTCTGTATTCCGGCGCCTGGTACCTCGAGATGATCACCGGGCCGGCTCGCGACACTGCTTTGCGATCATAGTAGGCCTACGCGCAGTCAGGCCGCCCTGGCTGCACCACACTCCTACTATACGTTCTATCAGAATCTCTACTACTTATGCATGTTTTCCTCTCACTCGATCGCAAACCCGTGGTTTTTCAAGTCTTGTTTTACGCCGGTACGACACTGTGTATACGTACTGTGTATACATCCACACACAGGTGTGTATTTACCTGCAATCTTGAACCCTCTATTGTCCCTCTTTTGTTTGAAGGAAGACCTCCCATAATGATGGTTTGCACACGATCATCAATTGTGGACCTTCAGGAATTGTGTACCATATTGTCCTCTATTGTTCAGCGTTCCCTATTGACTGCAGAAACAAACTCGTTTTTACTTTAGGCCAAAAAAAAGTCTCCGGTTTCTGGTATGGAGCTTGCCCAAAAAGTGGTGTGGCGACGCGGCTTTTTTTTTTTTATTTACCTGATTTTTTGGCTTCTAATGTCGGCTGATGACTGCAAATGGTGCCCAACTAAACTTAGTGCAAATATATGGGAGTCCAGAGAGGCCACATAAAGCTTATTCTCGACCATAACCCCATCTAAAAACACGTTAAAATTGTGCAGCAGCAGGATTGCAGTCCAATCAGTGAGTTTGACGGTTTTGAGACATCATCTTTCATTCAAAAAAAAACTTTTTCATTTTGCCGACGCGCATGGCTACGGCGACGCACCCCATTGTCCCAAGGGTTAAGTCTAAATGGATAGCTCACCCATTATGTGCAGTTAGTCTGTGCAGCTGTTGGAATAATTATTTATGAACTGCACTGTGGCAATGCGCATGCGCACAGTAGGTCCTTCTGTCTTCAGAGAACTGAATTGAGAGCGGGACGCTCCTAATTCAAAAGTTAACACAATTGAATACTTGTTGTGGGTCCTTTTTTTCGTTCGACGTCTCATTTGAAAGCTCATTACTATTGTAAAGCTAGAAAAATGTCCATTCAATTTGAAATATATATTGTTCCAGGTGTAACACCTCAAAACCGGTATGTATCAGCTTAAATTCTTCGTCAAAATTAGATAATTATTGTATTGTCTTCCAGTAATTGATGTGCTCTGTCTACCGTTCGACTTCATTGTTCATTTCTTTGGATATGCTTTCACATTTAAGTGTTTATTTTCACATGTTCTGCGTGTGATTTTCCTTATGGATTCAAAGTGGCATTAATGGTTTGTATCTGGGGATTCTTTGTATCTGGCAAAAATATAAGCCTGCGTAAATGTATAATACAATAAAACATACGTAAATAAGCTTTTCCGTCATGAGCATGCGCAGTGTAGCAAAGCTGGCACGTGGTTCCGGCGTCGTTGCATGTCAGGTTCTTCTGATAGAAACCCTGTTTGTTCAGAAATAAATACGAAGATAGTGTTATTGCAATGAGGCGTAGATCCTACGTTTTCCCACTTTACAAAAGATTGTGGGTAAGTCACAGACAATTTGCTGTACCCAGAGACGAGCCTTGCCTCAATGACTAACTGACTGAGTTCTGACTGTCACTTGTGAATTGAACAGTCTGGCCCAGCTTTTCGAAGTGTTATTCCTACGTCACTGGTAAGCATTTCGAACAAGGATAAAATGAGAGGTTTTCGGACAAGGAAAACCCATTTGAAAGTTTAGACGATGTGCGTGTGTTTTCAATAGCGACTAAAAATCCAATTATTTCAGGAGTGTAATTTATTAATTTTATAAACTTCCTTGTCTGTTGACAATATCGTGTCAAGAGTGCAGCTACTGCCTCACTGGTATTAAATTCGATTTCACGAATCAAAGTAAAAAGCTCCCACAGCCGTAAAAGAAAACCTCTTTATTTTGCTAATGTTTCCGGCAAAGCGGTCCGGAATAGTGTGACACAAAAGGGTCAATTTTGACGGGTCAATTTTGACGCTGAAAAGTAAGAAGCCAGATTCTAGGTCAACCTGACCAGGGAATCTTTAGTGACGTCACATGCTATCCAAAGTAATGTGACGGAAGCAGTACTTCATCCACTGTTGTTTTAACGGTAGCTGGAATTGTGAAAGAACTTGTGGTGGGCTTGACTTGACTTGTGGTGGGCTTGTGTGGGACTCGACCACGGAATTCTTACCAAGTGTGAGTAGGTAGGATCCTGGCTCCCATCCCCCCATAAACCACTGACCTCCTGGCTGGTAAGGAACAGAAGAAACAACACTCCCAACAACATGATGGCAACTGAGGAACCCTAGTCCTGCCGAGAGTAATATGCTTGTACGTGGCTGATCAGCCTCGGAAATAATAATTATATACAGACGAAGGCAACTTCTGGTTTGTGGATTTGGATTGTAATTAACTTGTGTGGAACGTAAATGAATACCGACTCGTAGGCCAGGCTGCATAAATCCATACGATTAAACTTTGTTGCAATAAATTTGAATACGTTAAATCGTCCTGCGTTCATTACAAACCTTCATAAACAAAAGCGATGGCTAGTTCTCAAATAGTTATCATTTTGTCCTTCAATATGTCTTACATAGTTCGCCCATTCCTCGCTGTAAAAGACACCTTTGGATATCGATATATAGAAGCGATATTAGACGCTGAAGACTAAATATTTTTGGGGTTGGAACATCTTCATTGCGTCCAACCAATATAATACAAAGAAATAAATACTGCCACTTCGACAAAATCTGGAATTGACATGGCCATGGCCTGCTAAAGGAACTATTGTAAGCTACACTTGTAATGATTGACCCTAGTATACAAAACCTCAGTGTAAGCACATTATGTTGCTCCTTTTCCCGTGCAATATCTTTTTGTGCGCATTTCCGGAGCAGTTATGCTAGCGTCTCCTTGTAAACACGTACAGTGTAATTGTTCAAAAGTCAGCCCTTTTCATCAATGGAAGTAACAAACGAACGTAATTTTTCCTTTAAAAAAACAAAGCAAACTCGGAATGAATAAAGACGGTATGTTAAAGCTCAAAAATGGAAGAAACTCGAATTAAAAAAAAATATTATCTTCTACATGCCCATCCCTTTGGGATAACGGTGACGCATGTTTTGCTTATTCACATTATGATTGTGAGTAAAGGGCAATAAAAATTATTCATTACGCGACTGTCTGGCAATAATGCATTCACCCGAGGTATAGTAATAACATTAATCACCAAATTAAAAATCTCATGCATTATGGAGCTTATTGTTCGATTGCTATTAGTCATATTTGATGAGAACAGAATACAGCCTTTTGCAGTGGGTAGTATTTGCATTGAAGACAATTCGCATATTTTTTTTCTGGCAACAAAATAATATCTCGACGTAATTACAAGGGAGCCCGTACTTTTTTCTCCTCGATTAATACTTAAAGCTAGTCTATGTAATAGACCATGGCCCTGGCGAAGCCGACCATGGTCTATTATACGTAACCAGACTCGGCGATTAGTTATGCAACTAGACTGCGTATGACCGAGAGAAACTGACCAATCAGTATGCGCCTTCTATATTCGCGCGTAATCGAGCTCCCAGCGTGCGTGAGCATCACGCCCACGACGAGTAGCATTTTTGTATAGGTTGTTGTATTACTAAAAACCGAAATTGACCAATCACAATCTGAGTCTTGATTTCGGAATGAAGTGACGTCACTCATGCCTATATGTATATCATACGTTATACAGGGGACTTGGCTCAAGGGTGATACTCAGAGTAACTTAAAGCCAGTATATCCCGTTATTATGTGCTACAAATGCGGTAAGATTTGTACACATTTGTACTGTTGGAATTGGATACACGAAGCTCTAAACCAGACTTATTTTTGAGCGACTGAGGCCGCTATATAACAAAGACGTTTTCTGGATACCAACACTAGAAAAATCCCATTTAATGAAACAGTACAGTAACTAATTTAAATTCAAATATTGTAAAAATTTCCTTTTTGCTGTAGCAATCTGTAAGCTGAAGCCAATAAGCTGTGATTCACGTCTGTTTATACCCAAAAATTGTGGCGATACAGCGCCCTCATTCGCTAGGCTAGGAATGTTGCCTATTCAAAAACAGACACCTCTTTGTTGAGCCAAGGTCTTTTGTTTTTACGTATGCGGTGAATCAGCGGAAAGCTGCACTCTGAGGGGAGAAAACCCACCATTTACTAAGGGAATGACTTGTGGACACATTTACGTACGTAGCTACGATTTTACCGACAAGAGGACGATTTGCAAACAACAGTGACAGTTTTGAGTGCTACAATCTTCAGCCGAATTACCTCCCCTATCGACGCCCGTGAGTGGACATAAACATAACTGGATAAACATAACTGGGCCAACATGATGCTGTATGGTGCAGTACGTCACCATTGAATTTGAATTGCGCCCCCTGTTGTTTTCAAACGATAAGATAATTACCAAACTACAAGCATGGCTTCATTTACTCATAGACTAATTCGTGTACGCAGCAACAATAATAATAATTATAACAAAAAAATATAATAAAAAAAAATAATAATAATAATAACATAAATTCCACTTGTACCATTGAGGAGACACGTTATTGTAATTTTTTCGAACGGTGGGAGACATCGGTCATAAGGGAGACATTTTCATGTCTCACTAATGTCACACCCCCCTTTAGAGGTCAAATTGTATTGTCGCAATGGGGTTATTTTTGTTGGTCGCGGTCTATTTAGTAAACGTACCGAAATTTGTGGGAAAAGGACTAAAGAATATTGGGTAAGGCACATTTAAGTTTGAAAAAAAGGTGCGAAAGTCCATGGGGATGTCTCCCAATGGACATTCTCTTAAGGTTTTTAATAAGCAATTATTAAAACATATATTATACTCGAAAATACTCGGGCGCTATATTTTTGTCGACGAAATGAATTCGGCAAATTTCGGACATTTTCGGAAAAAGGAGAAATTCCTCCCGTCTTAGTCACGTGACGTTATTAGTAATACAATGTATTACTGAGAGCTACCTGACCTAAGATTCATCAGGAATAGTCAGAATCAACCTCGTCCCCAGGTTGTCGGGCAGTACGTGCTCACCACTACCTGCTCTCTCAGCCTAGTATTGGATCATTTGTATATGCAAGATTTTTGAACACGTACGTATGCAAATGAGGAATAGTCTGGTGCCTGCATGTGCGTTACATTAGCGTTTGTTTTTGTGTGCGTGTGTCTGGCGTAAAAACAGCATCAATTCGTCACGCCGTGAGTTTTGAAAACACGATTTTTTTTGGAAGTTAAAATGTTACAATCTAGCCCGCCAATATGTAGTTTCACATTTCATATAAACATGAGCAACCTTGCGGATTTGTTTGACCAATTTGTTTGTCAGCAAAGATTTGAATAATTGTTTATAGGGTTCGTCTGACATTAATCCCACCAAAAAAACCGGCTCAATAACCATTACAATGCGCCGTGATAATGTCCATATAATATGTATTATTCATAATAATGGTAAGTTTTGATGGGTACATTTGACAGAATTTTTCGTAAAAAACGAGTTTGACAGAAAATTTGACAGAATGGATTTTTTTTTGGCAGATTTCTGGCAGAATTCTCCAAATATTGTTATTTAACAGGAAAACATAGCAATTTGGACCAAAAATGTTAATTTGTTTAAAGAGGTTTTGAAATGCTCGAAGACATTTCCGTCATTTTTCGGGTATATGTATATTTCGTGTATAAAAGTGTGATGAAATAAAAACGACTACTGTGTCTGTCATGAAATGAGTACAAAATGTACTTCTGAGAGCTGTTTTTCAGTTCCTGTTTCGACCAGAACGTGCAATTTGTGTAAAAGTCGTCGTTGGGGGCAGCAAACAAAACATAGTAAATCGTGACGTAATAAACAGGACTCCCGATGCAGTGTAGTATAAACGAGTCCTGTTTATTACGTCACGATTTTTCTCATTTTACAAAGAACCCGACGACTGTTGATTCAATTATGCGCTCGCCTACCAAAAATTACTCGATGGATTTCAGATTTATAAACATATAAACGCACATTACAAAAGAATGGGACTTTGTCATTATGATATATATGGGTCTACACTACAGTAAAAAAAAAAATATAAAAAACAAAACGACTTTCAGCATTCCACAACCTCTTTAAAAAAGCTTCAATCTATTCAAGCAAACCCTTGCATAATGGGACAGTATGCCTGGTCTAGTTGCTGAGATTCACTTGGAACGCGGATCTTCGTCGTGCCGTGAAGCAACCACATTTTGCCTGAAATTTACGCAACTTCCTGACATCTTTATGTGACGATAGATTGTTTTTAATATAATTTGAACCCTAATTAAGGCAATACTACAACATCTGCATGTGTTTTTAAGTTTTAATAGTGTATTTCGAGTGATTCTGGGGAATTTGGCAGATTTTTTGATTGATCTGACAGATTTTTAAAGCACATTCAGCAGAATTTGGGCATGACCTGACGGTCACCCTGGAAACGACAGTTCAGGTCATTGTTGAGCCGGGTTCTGACCTAGATTGAGCTCCTACTCGCTCCTTGTATGATGCATTAGATTGCAGATCTGTGGTCTGACCCCGAAGTGTGTGTAAGATATCCTATCTGACTCTTTATTGATAATGTCTCTCACCCAAGAGAAACGTTACAGTATTCACACTCTTCCTCTAGTGTGTAAATAATAAGTACATTCCACCAAGAGCTTGTGGCCTGGTGCATAATGAATGTCGTTCGATTTAGAAATGCCTTCATATTAATGGCAACTTCTTCCAAACAGAAAACTGCAAAGAAATTGACTCTCCGTGATAACCTCTTGGTGGTGCCCTGCGCTGAATCGCTCTTTAACTACACTGATCTGTAGGTTAGAGTGGTATAGACTGGTTCCCACCTAATGTCCAAAGCCAGAACGAGCCAACCCGAAACTTCAATTGTTTGTACACGTAATAAGTACTAGGTGCCATTTGTAACAGCCTATTGGAGTAAACTATTTCCCGAATCGCTTGACGTCTTCATCGAGCAACTCAAACGACATCTCCATCAAATTAGAATAGTGTACGTTATTGGTACCTTATAGAACTAGGGATACGGCTTTGGCAGAAGTAGTGATAGGTTTCTGGACGTTATCCCAGGCCCAAGTATTATGAGTATTGTAAAAAAAAATACTCGATCGGTAGTAAGGCCTTCCTTGGGGAACGTCTGTTTCTGTTACTTTATTCAACACGATAATAAAATGAACGATGAACTATTTTTCTTGATTTCCAAATGTTTGTTTGTTTGTTGTTTGTTTGTATGTTCCTTACTCTCTTTGAATCTGACTTGTATTTAATCACAATTTATTGGTTTGTACTGACCTGATCCTGACTTTCTTAAACTTAATTTGTATTAAATTATCTATTTTAGCTGATTGATGGCATCTACAATACCCCCGGTGACTTGTCCGTTTTTGCGTAGACTTCAATCTGAGTTTTTTTAATTTAAAATATATAATAACTCTGTAAAAAGATGTAAGATAGTATTCTTCCACTACCCGTTTTATTTTGAAATCTAGTTGAACACCGTCGTGTTTCGGAATGAGATATTGAAGCTATTAAGTGGGTTTCTCATGTTTTGGTCCATTTTGAGCTTAATGATGTTATCGGGTGTTGCAGTACGCCTTCAGCCCAAACGGCTTTACTGCCGACTGTATTTCAGGAAACCTACCTAACCATAGGGGAAAGTTCTTACAACTGTATGAACAAGAATAATTGTTAAACAACCTTGCCATTAAAATATCTTCGACTGTCCTTTGTGCGTTTGTTTATGGTGTAAATCGAGGACACACACGTGCAACATCATCGGTGAATCGAGGACAGGAACCAAATCGACTGAGGGACGACCTCGATCAGAAAATGTGTACAAACCCAATGAGAGCTGTTGCGAAAAAAAAGCAAAAAGTACAAACGATGGAAAAGGGAAGAGGAGCAAAAGAAAATCCTCGATTTACACCATAAACAAAACGTGCTGGAGCATGCGCTTGCATCTATAGGCGTATAGATTCATTTGCACTGATCCCAAAGTAACCTACCGAATTATTATCAAACTGTTTACTCGGATTAAAAATCGTACTGGTACTAAACATCTTGTGAAATTATTCCGTCTGGCTTGCGGTCATTCAGAAGTAATCAAGAAATGTGGATGAATTCCAGCGTTCAGTCAATAGGGGTAAAGAGTTTTCTCTTAAAGGGATATATGTACCGAGCTGAAACTTCAACAGATTAGGTTTTCAACGTAATTCTTTGGACTTTGTTGTTGTAGGAAACGATCAAAATACATAAACAGGAAGTGATCACGTTATGCCTGTAAAAAGAAAACATATAATGGAAATGACAGTAACAGAAGAATTGAAAGAAGCCAACAAGTGCTCAATTGACAAGCCATATAATGTAGAAACTCAAAGAATTTAATTTTACCACTCTTCCTCAATCACTCAATTTTTTTAAACATCAAGTAAGACATAAGAATATACACTGCATCACCTTACAACTTGACATAGACCGACAATAATCCTAAACAGTGCGCAACTCTTTAAAATTCCAATACATCGTATACATTCGCCCAACGTTCACAGTAATAACCTTTAATGTAATTTGAAGCGTAATTGAAACTACTGTTTCCTACATTATTTTAATGAATACTATCACTTTATGATCTTAAAAGGGCCTAAAATCGCCCAAACGTTTGAAAATTGTAAAAAGAAAAAAGATTTTCGAGGGTTGCAGACTTGCGTGCTTGCATGATTTGTTTTAAGTTGCCCTCCCCTCACCAATTACGAGCCCCCCCCCCCGCCCCCCCCCCCCCCCCCAAAGAAGGGCTAACCGCTTTTCACTTATGAATGACTCATCGAGCGAAGTTCTCTAATGTACAGTTATGGAATAATATTTGCAATTGAGATTTAGATAATTTGTAGTCCTATAATTATTCAGGCGTATCCCTTGTGCGCTATGGGCTTAAAAAAATGACCACATCAAAAGTTTAGTTGAATTGTCAAAAAATAGGACAAAGCTGTTTTTTTACGTTGAAATATATCTCACATATTAAAACCAAGTTGACAGGAGAAAAAAATCGAATAGTTGAAGAGCAACTTCAAGGTAAGAAATCAAGGAAATCGATTGGTTTGGGTGTGGGAAGGTGTAAGGGTGTTGCGGGGGGGGGGGGTAACATCATGTGGCTTAGATTAACATCATCTGTCCCTTGACCAATGTTTTGGGTGGGGGTTGTCAAAACTGCAACCCTTTCACTACCGTCCCTGATTACTAAGGCTTACACACTAACACCTGTTGGCCCCTCATCTCCCTGTCTCCATGGTTAGCGTGCAGTGAGGCCACGGCGATGGGCGAGGCACAGGTGTCCGGCACCATTACACCGGGAGGGAAGCGAGTATCCAGGCAAATCACGAGCCTCTTGTTTCTCATTTGAGAATGCTCTGTTTGGAGCTCATAGCACAGTCGGTACGTCTGGGTTGGATCGTCTGCAAATCGTAACAACATGCAATAATGAATAAAAAATAAAATATGACGAAAAGAACATTTCATACTGAATGCGTATGTCCTGCCGCTGTCGTTTTAAAAGGTTCACACATCCTGACTATATACGGACACATTGTGAAATGTTCAGTAATGTGGTATTCTAAACTTCATCATCATGACTCGGAAGACACACGAGATGTGCATTCGTGGAAAGTCAATTCGTTATTCCACTTAAAAATGTTGGTTTTCGAATACAATTTTTTTTTTACTTCGCGGATTTGTTTCTTGTATAAAATAAGCATTGAATTGCCGTTGATGGCAGAACAAAATATATTTTGTTAGCGCTGCGGCAATATATACAGATATCATAATATTGCTTCTTTTTCATATTTTGCATTGGTTTGGAAATGTTCGGCTCTTCGTAGTTAATCTATTATGAAATATAATACTTATTAAACTCAATCATATAATCGGATGCTGTGCTTCGTGGGTGTTGTTTGATAGGTTGCTTGTTAAATTGTTGGGTTGTTTGATTGTTTATTTGTTTGCTTTTGCTATTATCACTCACCTTGAATGATGGAGTATTTGGTGTCAAAAGGTCCGGCAAAATTAGTGAATTCCAACTTGTAGGGTTCGGTTGTATATTGGATCACTTCTACAAAACAATTTTACCAAAACACGAAAACTATAAAATCCACAAATGTATCGGTTTAAAATAAAAAGGTCATTTATGTATTTGTCAACATACGACGAGAGCATTGTTTAATTCAAATGAACTACTCTGTACTACTTCAACATAGCCCAATTTCAAAGCGTACGGTAGCTCTCTACAAGAAATTGCGAAATAATTACACACTTCTTGAAGGGGTGCATCCTATGTTCCCAAATAGCTGTGTTCCCCAATACCTATATGTTTCCCAAATCCTTAGAGTGAGGGTTAGGGTTAGGATTGGGGTTAGGGTTAGGGTTGGGAGACATAGGTATTGGGGAACACAGGTATTGAGGAACATAGGTATGCACCCCTTATAAAATGCCTTGCATAGACCGTGGGTAATGCAACAGGCTACGAACGGTTTGTGTGATTAATGAGCGGTATTAAACCCCTATATACTCTCTAAATTCCAAAGAGAGAAATTGGGGACTATACGTTTTAAGAGTGAAAATCACTCTCGTTTTCGATTGAAATAGTCTGAAAAACACACACTTCAGTCGAAGCTCTAGTGACAATTCAATCGATTGAAGAAATTTCACTCCAAAACGTCTAGTCCCTAGTTTCCGCCTGTGGGAGTGAATCTTCACTCGGATGGAGTGAATTTTCACTCTTTCGAATTTAGAGAGTATCCTTACACTCCTATATAATGTGCCTATTATAAATGCGAAGGTTGTACTTGCGTTCTGCAAATTAATGGGTAGGTCTCACTGCATTTTATTCTTCGTCGAAAGCAAATATGTTGACCATCTTTTGAATGAAAATTATGAGAAGAAGAATAGCACTCTTTCCCCATCCTTCATGTGCACTGTTTATATACGGATCAACTTCATGGCTCATTTCAAAGGTTCTCCCCGTCGATTTAGCAAACGTTACAAGGACATTACGGCCTGGAGTGCGACAATTGAGATACAAACTGCGTTTTAAACAAATATATATATATATATATATATATAATGAAAAAACATTTAAAAGTAGAATATAAACGTCCACACAATCATCCTTCAATAACTGTACGTGTTTGAGTTATTCTTGCGAGAACCATGCGAGAAGGAATTTCGGTGGTCACAGTTCGTCGTGTATTTTACATACTGGCGAACAGGTTGCACCGCGCCTTTTCCATACCGGCGAACAGGTATACACAATGTTCACCGGTGTGGAAAAGACGCGATACTTTTTGTCCCCGAAAAATCGAGCTGTTGATGCTTGTACCTAAGACCCCCTTTACACAGAGCTGCGTCCTTTAAGCCTCCCTTGTGCGACAATGAAACTGGCCAGGTCGCCGTTGGAGGCTCAAAGGAGGCCGAATGGTTGCCTAGGTCGTTCAAAGGTGGTACACAGGATGTTCAGACATCGCCATGGACGCCATGGACGCCATGGTCGCCGTTAATTTTTGAACATGTTCAAAACAGTCGCACAAAGGTCGCCGAGGAGGTTGGTTGCTCAAAGGTGGCTCAAAATAATGAGGCAGAAGGGAGGCACAAGCATTGCCGTGGTTGCAGAATGGATGCACAATGGTCGGCCAATAGTCCCCACGTATTAGATCCGTTCTGTTGCAAATTTTACCGTCAATCTGGGCAATGCTTCTGCCTCCCTTGTGCCTCCCTTATGCCTCCTTTGGCCGACCAATAGCGTGCATTGAACGATGACTGTGGCGATCGCTGAGCCTTAATTCGGCGACCACGGCAACCCTTGAGACACCATGGCCGTAGGTTGCACAGTGGAAGCACAGTGGATACAGGCAAGTGGCTCAGTGGACGCACAAGTCGCTCGTAGCTGGAGATGAAAATGCCCGAAAATTGCAGTTTTGGTGGTTCAAGGGAGGCACAAGGATCGCTGGAGCAGTTACATAGAAACAGGATTCAGTTCTGGGTATAGGCGACCATTGAGCGACCTGGCCATTTCTTTGGTCGCTTAGGCCAAAAAAATAAGTCTCCGGTTTCTGGTATGACGCTTGCCCAAAAAGTGGTGCGGCGACGCGGTTTTTTTTTTAAACTTCGTGCAAATATATGGGAGTCCAGAGAGGCCACATAAAGCTTATTCTCGATCATAACCCCATCTAAAAACACGTTAAAATTGTGCAGCAGCAGGATTCCAGTCAAACCAGTGAGTTTGGCGGTTTGAGACATCATCTTTCATTGAAGAAAAAAAGTTTTCACTTTGCCGACGCGCATGGCTACGGCGACGCGCGCGCATACCAGAAACCGGAGACTTTTTTTTTTTTGGCCTTATAGGTGGTACAAAGGTCGCAGCCCTGTGTAAAGGTGGCCTAAATCCAGCAACACAGTGGTTCGAATTCTGCGGACGTGTAAGAAACAATATTTGTGTATTGGTGCTGTGTGTATAATGTATCGCATGCATAACGTGTACGATACATTGAATAGACACGACTTGAAATACGAATGTAAACGATGTAAGCAATAGGAGCTTGTTCATCTTTTCTCGAGAATGGTAAGACATTATAAGGTTTGTTTCCTTTCAACCACATCTTTAAAATAGTATACCCAATTCAAAACATGTTATTTGCGGAGATTTTAGGCCGTAATGCCCCTTTTAGTGTTCATTTTCACTTTTTCTGCATGTGATTTTCCTTATGGATTCTAAATGACACTCGTGGTTTGCATCTTGGGATTTTCTTTTGTTAAAAGCCGGCAAAATGTACGTCTGCGTAAAATGTACAAAAAAGGAAAACATACGCGAAAAAGCTTTTCCTTCAGCATGCGCAACGTAGCATAGCTGGCACGTGGTTCCGGCGTCGTTGCACGTCAGGTTCTTCTGATAGAAACCCTGTTTGTTGAGAAATCAAATGATTTGACTAAAAAAACCGATTGTAGGTAAGTCACATACGCTTTGCTGCACAAAGAGGCCAGCCAATCCTATTTGTATTTATCAATACAATACAATACAATGCAATACAGTACAATACAATACAGTACAATACAATACAATTCAGTACAATTAGGCATTTATCAAGCGCCCCTCGAGGACCACAGCGGGGTACAAGGCAATACATATAATAAATTACATAATGAACAATGAAACTCAATAAACAGAACATCAGTAACTAAATGAAATGCAAAGTAATAAAAGAAATTAGACAAAGAGGTGGTGTGTTTGAAAAAAGACCTTATCCGACCGACCGTATTTCAATTGTCACTGGCAAGAATTTATGACGAGGATAACTGGAAGGTCTTTGGAAAAAGAAAATCCATTCAAAAGCTTAGACGATAGCGACTACCATTCCAATCATCTCATGAGCCCAATATAAACCAGCTTGTCTTTTGACCATGTTGTTTTAGAAGTGTAGTTTCTGCCTTGCTAGTATCAAATTCGGAATAACGACAATTTCACCAATCAAAGTCAAAAGCCGGATTCCAGGTCAATCTGACCGTGCAGAGACTCTTTAAAGTGACGTCACACGCTATCCAAATGAACTGTGAAGGAAGCAGTACTGTTGATTTTACGGTAGCTGGAATAACCCTAGGTACTAATGACGTCATACAATGTTAACCGCAGTGCATTGCCGGATCGAGTGGGGGTCGCCGCACCGCGCTCGCTAGAAAACATGTAGTATTGTGTATGTTGGGTCTGGATTATTTTAGTTTGCGACACGAAAGCTATCGAAAACGACCCTAACAAGTGATACAACTTTTTCTCAATTAATGTAAACTGTTTTTCAGGTCAGTGATCCTTAAAAATAATGGAGAATTAGATATGCACAACGCAAGTCACAATGGCCATATATCACGCGGTATCGCGCGTGACTGTATGCGATTGTGTACAGCGGGCAACCCATACACTTGTATGCGGCAGGAAGTTTCGGAGAAGCATGCTGCTTCAAGTACAAACGGTACAACCGGTACAACCTCGATAAATAGTTAAACCAAATATATACATCAACATGGAAAACTTTAGCCACGGAAAATACATTCTCAAAAAGACTGACCCTGCAAGTAGTTGAATCAAATTGCAGACTTGTTTTTCTCCATCTATTTTTGTTTGGCACCTGGGACCTGGTTGACTTGGGACCGAGGTTGTTTCGAGTCAATTCGGTCCCAAACCAAGTCGGTTGGAGTCAACTCAGTCCAAAGTTAACTCGGTGGCGCATAAAATATTCCAGGCCCAAAATACACAAGACTAAATGTTTTCCAAAGCGAGCGCGGTGCAGCGACCCCCACTCAATCCCACAATGTATTGCGGTAAACATTTTGTGACGTCATTAGTACCTATAGGGTTATTGTGAAAGCACTTGTGATTTACATTTTACTTGTAGTGGGCTTGTGTTGGACTCAGCCTCAGAATTCTTACCAAGTGTGAGTAGGTAGGATCCTGGCTCCCATCCCCCCAGAAACCACTGACCTCCTGGCTGGTAAGGAACAGAAGAAACAACACTCCCAACAACATGATGGCAACTGAGGAACCCTAGTCCTGCCCGGAGTAATATGCTTGTACGTGGCTGATCAGCCGCGGAAATAATAATTATATACAGACGAAAACAACTTCTGGTTTGTGGATTTAGATTGTAATTAACTTGTGTGGAACGTAAATGAAATCCGACTCGTAGGCTAGGCTCCATAAATCCGTACGATTAAACTTTATTGCAATAAATTTGAATACGTTAAATCGTCCTGCGTTCATTACAAACCTTCACAAACAAAAGCGATAGCTAGTTCTCAAATAGTTATCATTTTGTCCTTCAATATGTCTTACATAGTTCGCTCATTCCTCGCTGTAAAAGACACCTTTGGATATCGATATATAGAAGCGATATTAGACGCTGAAGACTAAATATTTTGGGGTTGGAACATCTCCATTGCGTCCAACCAATATAATACAAAGAAATAAATACTGCCACTTCGACAAAATCTGGAATTGACATGGCCATGACCTGCTAAAGGAACTATTGTAAGCTACACTTGTAATGATTGACTCTAGTATACAAAATCTCAGTGTAAGCGCATTATGTTGCTCCTTTTCCCGTGCAATATCTTTTTGTGCGCATTTCTGGAGCAGTTATGCTAGCGTCTCCTTGTAAACACGTACAGTGTAATTGTTCAAAAGTCAGCCCTTTTCATCAATGGAAGTAACAAACGAACGTAATTTTTCTTTTAAAAAAAACACACAATGCAAACTCGGAATGAATAAAGACGGTATGTTAAAGCGCAAAAATGAAAGAAACTCGAATTAAAAAAAAATATTATCTTCTACATGCCCATCCCTTTTGGATAACGGTGACGCATGTTGTGCTTATTCACATTATGATTGTGAGTAAAGGGCAATAAAAAATTATTCATTACGCGACTGTCAATATATGCATAGTAATAAAATTAATCACCAAATTGAAAATCTCATGCATTATAGAGAATATTGTTTGACTGCTATTAGTCATATTTTATGAGAACAGAATACAGCCTTTTGCAGTGGGTAGTATTTGCATTGAAGACAATTCGCATATTTTTTTCTGGCAACAAAATAATATCTCGACGTAATTACAAGGGAGCCCGTACTCTTTTCTCCTCGATTAACACTTAAAGCTAGTCTATTTAATAGACCATGGCCCTGGCGAAGCCGACCATGGTCTATTATACGTAACCAGATTCGGCGATTAGTTCTGCAACTAGACTGCGTATGACCTCGAGAAACTGACCAATCAGTATGCGCCTTCTATATTCGCGCGTAATTCGAGCTCCCAGCGTGCGTGAACATCACGCCCACGACGAGTAGCATTTTTGTATAGGTTGTTGTATTACTAAAAATCGAAATTGACCAATCACAATCTGAGTCTTGATTTCGGAATGAAATGACGTCACGCATGCCTATATATATCATACGTTATACAGGGGACTTGGCTCAAGGGTGATACTCAGAGTAACTTAAAGCCAGTTTATCCCGTTATTATGTGCTACAAATGCGGTAAGATTTGTACACATTTGTACTGTTGGAATTGGATACACGAAGCTCTAAACCAGACTTATTTTTGAGCGACTGAGGCCGCTCAAACAAAGACGTTTTTCTGGATACCAACACTAGAAAAATCCCATTTACTGAAACAGTACAGTAACTGATTTAAATTCAAATATTGTAAAAAATGTCCTTTTTGCTGCAGCAATCTGTAAGCTGAAGCCAATAAGCTGTGATTCACGTCTGTTTATACTCAAAAATGGTGGCGATACAGCGCCCTCATTCGCTAGGCTAGGAATGTTGCCTATTCCAAAACAGAAACCTCTTTGTTGAGCCAAGGTCTTTTGTTTTTACACATGCGGTGAATCAGCGGAAAGCTGCACTCTGAGGGGAGAAAACCCACCATTTACTAAGGGAATGACTTGTGGACACATTTACGTACGTAGCTACGATTTTGCCGACAAGAGGACGATTTGCAAACAACAGTGACAGTTTTGAGTGCTACAATCTTCGCACCACAGAGCATCTAGAATCAAAAAAATATCCGGGCACTATAAACGGGCACCGAACCCCACGCCGTAAGTTTTGGGACCCACTTTTTGGGGGGACCAAAAATGTTTTGCCCCCCCCCCCCCCCACAACAAGTTGTGTTCTGGATCGGCCCTCGGTCAATTATATAGAAATAATTACTCAATACAACGAACTATGGAAGAGAAACATTAGATTACACAAAAAAATAATAGACTATGAGCCGAAAGACACGATACAAATGAAATAAGCTTTAAGATCATTTATTCGTACTATGATGGATATGTCTATACATATGAATGAAACACAGCTTTTGTTTCGAAAGCGAGGAAGGCCTTTACTGGCGAATCGTGAACCAAGTTCTGATTTTTTAATTGTTTTTTGGTGTTTTTTGTGGTTCATATTTATTTTGCTTATTATCGTTCTTTTTTTAGGAGGGGTGGGCTGTTTGCTTTTGTCTTCATTTGTTCTTCTTCTTCTTCTTCTTCTTTTGTACTTTGTTTTAGTCTTTTTTTTCACTTAGTGGAAGGTAAAGAAAATCGATTCAAAAATAGTCCTCTGTGTTTATATGGTTTGATTAAGCCCTACAATCCTCACGAAAGTATTCAAATAACCCTGCGCGTGGGTGACGGCATGCCAGTGTAACGAATAGAAGTTCACTTAAACTACACGAGTAGAGCGCCGTTCGTGGATGGCCCGAGGGCGAAGCCCGAGGTCCATTCATCATTCACGAACGGCGCGCTTCTGAGCGTATTAGCCTACTTAACACCCTCCAACAATTCCTCACTTTTGCCTGAACGAAGGCCTTCGTCCATCTTCATTTTTTATGTTTTTAAAATAAGGAAATCAATTTTGTTTATTTATGAGAGCAGAACAATGACAATGAGCCAAAAGACAAACACGTAGTACTGAAGATTGTTTACAACCCAATGTCCGGGGCAGCTTGTTTGTTAGAAAATATTACGTTAAGATTATCAACATTACATATTTAGTGGTAATTCTTAAAGATTTCTTATAACATGGTAGCTACTACTTCAAAAATTACAAACAACGGCAAGTGTCGCAAGTGTAAATGGATATACATGTATATATGGATAGACAAGTTATTAAAAATCATCCTGGCGGCACATGCCGATTTAAGGTGACAATACAATGGTAAACCATTAGAAACAAAAAAATCAATTAATAAGAAATTCACACAAAAATGCAATAAGATACGGTCCCTATTTAAATTGTTAAAAAAAAGTGTTTATGTTTAAAATACGACTGACATTAAAAGGCCAGTATACCTTATCCCCAATTCTGTTTTATCAGCAAATCAACAATAAATTCACAGTACATGTATTTCCTTTTTTTTTACATCCGTAACATCTGTTCCAATTCTTTGGCCGTCAGGTGACCGATGAATGAACCGACACAAACTACTTCCTTGTTCACCGTAAATACATATACATCGAATGGAATTTCAGTGGATTGGGAACCCATGAGATGGCTATAGATAATCCTGTAGTTTATTCATTTATTTATTTATTACATTTCTTTACCCCATGGTACATGTATGTACACCTTAGTTAAAACTGGTTTCCAATCGGGCTCCGCATACATTACATATTATTAAATAAAGATACAAAAAGTAAGGAAACAAGTAAAGTACAAGTAAAAAGTAGAGTACAAGCTATAAACACAAGTTCAGTTTAAACATTCAAGTATATGGTATGAAGTACTGATTCCTGGATGGGCTAAAAGCCTGCGAAAACCTTTCTGCGGGGGGAGGAAGACAGGGAAATTCGGCTCCGGTTCCAAATAGTTACATCACAGTCATAGTTTTTGACACCAGTGGTTGGGAACTTTGGGACAACATTGCAAAAGAAATAATGTATAGTTAGCTGAGACCAATAACAGTTGAAATGTATGCATTTGATATCGCAGGCCGCAGGGCTTATGAAGAAAGGCACCTCACGTTTGTAGATTTTACACAAGAAGGTCTGTAGGAATGTCTGCATTCAACATTGATGTCAGGGCATATATACATATAAAAATAGTTCCTCGATATTCAGGTTTCCTCAAAAACGAGGAGAGTGCTAAAATCAGTCTGAGTGGATTACAATTTATTGATGTGGTTAATTGCTTAGTTAAAAACTTGGATATTTTAATATAGGAATTAATAGTTGTTTTTTACACGGAAAAGACTCATTTAGTCGAAATAAACCAGTTCGGTGTTTCAACTACGGATGCCAAAAACAAATGAGGTGTAAACACTTTGCTGTATTCGTGCAAAATCCTAGCGGGCACAATCGAAACTGAAGAAAAGTTCGGCTTGTTCCGAAGTTAGTGCAACATTTCTTTAACCTGGTAGTTTTGATGTGTAACAATTGCAGCGCTCCAACTTATGGCACAAGTTTCAATCGGTTACTACTTCCCCCATAGTCTTGTGTGAATTTTCCGTTGCATTTATCGTAGAAATGACGTCGTCATAAATTATTAAAACGCACATGCGTAGTTGTAACACCTATCGGGTTTATGTTGTGTTTATAAGTCGTTCGTAGCCTTTAAGGAATCCAGTAGTCTGGCACTGGAACCCGAGGATTTGCGTCATGGTTTACGGTTGGCAAAGGCGCCACCTTTTGTGGGGTTGTCGGGCAGTCGCTATCCAGCTTCGCATTCTCGTAGTCTTGGCGCAGACGCTTGTACGCCTCGTCGATGTCGTCACCGAAGCTGTCCTCGCGTTGCGAGTCGTACTCGGTGTTCGATCCCGGAGACGGAGGCGCGTCTACGTTTCGATCTCGTCCACTCATTGGGGCATAGTCACCATCAGCAACCTGAACATAGGCATGACCATCCGACACTGGCCGCAGTCTTCGTGGAACGTCCGGTGGATTCTGCGATCCACGCCGTGGAAGTTGCTTGGCCCTTTTCTGACCCTTTGGAGGGCCTGGAAACAAGTCCTCATTTACATAAACCTGACGATCATAAGATTCTGGTGGCAGATAAATATCCTCGTCTAGGTTCAGTGCCATCTCACTCTCGGGTATTCTCGCTGGTTCACGTTGCGGGACTTCGTTACCCGCCATGGGCTCTCTGTTCCTTTCCTTGAACACCAAGGGCTGATACTCGTTCTCTTCTGGCTCCTGATTGGCGCCATGGCGCCGTGGAGGTACTGGTGGGGGTTGGTTCGGCGGTTCGAATCCCTCTGTTGTCGACTTGCCCCGTTTGACGAAAGACTTTCTAATGCGTTTGAAGATTCCATCCTTTGGCATTTCGATCTTGATTTTGAACCCGCTCTCTGGGTTTTTGAGAAAAAATCTACTGCCAGCACCAAGCTCCATTCCTGTCAAAAATGAGAGGGTTTGAAATTTAGGGGGAAAAACGTGATTTATACCATGCCCGCCTTATTCACAACATACACCAGTCATGGAATCAAGGCTGCCACTCTAGACGATTTTTACGGAATTAACTGGTGAAGAAATAGACACGATACAAATGAAATAAGCTTTAAGATCATTTATTTGTACTATGATGGATATGTCTATACATATGAATGAAATACAGCTTTTGTTTCGAAAGCGAGGAAGGCCTATACTGGCGGGTCGTGAACCAAGCTCTGATTTTTTTTTGATTTTTTTTTTTGGTTTTTTGGGTTCATATTTGTTTTGCTTATTATCTTTCTTTTTTTCAGGAGGGGTGGGCTGTTTGCTTTGTCTTCTTTTGTTGTTGTTGTTGTTCTTCTTCTTCTTCTTTTGTACTTTGTTTTAGTCTTTGTTTCACGTAGTGGAAGGTAAAGAAAATCGATTCAAAAATAGTCATCTGTGTTTATGTGGTTTAATTAAGCCCTACAATGCTCACGAAAGTATTCAAATAACCCTCGGCGTGGGTGACGGCATGCCAGTTTAACGAACAGAAGTTTTTGAACCTTTGATTTTGACTCACCTTGAAACGGCGTATCGAGAAAGGCCTTCATATTCCGTGCCCCAGCCATACTTGTTCTTTCTGGTAGACATCAGCACGTTCCTGATCTCCCGACAATTATTCCCTTGGACTGCAGCCGGCCAGCAACTCCGATGGCAACTAAAATTAAACTGGATCATTCCTCCACGGTGACAGTGCATTCCACCTTGGTTCTTGGGAAACACGGAAACGAACTGCTTCGGGAAGTCCCCGAATTATTGCGCAATCGACACAATGAAGTGTTGCATACTAACAGTCGATTTTTTCCCCTAATCGGTTACCATGACCTTGATCTTCCATGACACCTATCACGTTATCATTGATCAGTTTTCATGTTATCATGTAATTGTTGCCTCATTTTGTGCCGCACAATGACACGTAAAATCAGTTCTAACACCTTTTTTTTGTATGTCTCACTTAATGCGGTAAACATTTTTACATAACTTTTACCCGACCAGGTGACCCAACAGCATATTTTTCTGTAAGATGGTAAAGGGAATTACACAAAACTCCACAAAAAAATCCCTTTTTTTTTTTAAATCAAGCGATTAGTTTGTTGACTGAAATGGATTTCGGTGACATTTTCATATACACTGTCACTAATTTACTCAAGAACACATGAAACCAGCGCATCAGTGGCGGTTCTACGCCAAAAAAAAAAAATTGTCTAGCCCCCCCCCCAAAAAAAACTCCTTAAAAACAAATTGTCACTAGCAAAATGTTATCATTTGACGTACATATGGGAAGGGTGTGCCCCTAAATGAGAAGGGTGCATTTGTATACTTTTAGTTAATATAGTGTGCATGCCTGATTGTAGGATTTTATCAGCGCTCCCCATTGAAAATATGGCACGGCTGACGCGCACCGTTCCTTGTGTGTGACGCAGGGGATTTGTACTATGCACACGCAGTGGCCGCGCTTCGCGGCAATGAATTGCAGTCAGGCAAGATGGCGTCGGTCGGTCACCCCCAACTGTACTTGCTTTGCCGGTGACGGGGTACTTGTGAACGGAGCGGATAGGCTACGTACGTGCAGTTTGGGAGGTGATGAGCTTCGATTTTTGCTAAATTCGAAAGTGTCTCTGGCAAATAGCAATAAAGAGAGGGGTACTACTGTTCAGTATTTACAACCTATGCTGTTGAAATGCTTGAAAATTGCCTTCATGGAGACACTGGCGATTTTGCGTATTTGTGGCATTTGCGTATTTGTGGTAAGATTTTCCGTATTTGTGGTAAGACAGGGGTCAGTTTTTTGATAATCGTGTGTTGGAGTATCGTCCAGGTACAAAGTTGAATAACGATTCAAAACTAACCAATCACGCTGCGCGCAGAGGTCATCTAATCAATGGCTTTAAATGGGAGCTAGCTTCCGGTCCTTTTCATTGATTAATCATTTCATTAATAATTTCATTACAAATTACTAATTTGAATATAAGTCGCAGTAAATACCACCAAACCCTTTCAGCCCAAGAAACCAAAGTTGAATATGTTGGGAACTTGACCCTAATCTGTTACTCAGGAATACTGCATGGCACGTACTGACGTACAAAAACAACCGGGTACAAACATTTCCTCTTTGGCTTACACATCCTCTTTCGTTTTCTGTTGATTGCAACTGTGAGTTTCCTTGTGTAACCCGTGGCAACTTTTGGGCAAACTCTTGCTCTCAATATCCTATAAGATTGAGGACTTTTATCTGCATGTATGCGCTCTTACGGCTTTTAAGACGGTGTCCAATTTGCAGGGGGATGGGGTTGGCCCGTTATAGGACGAAGTTTACTCAATGCCCTTTCAACAATTACAATTACCTTGCATTCCCCCTGGACAGGCCCCAGGCAAAGGGGGGGGTTGGGGAGCGTGCCCCGCCCCCTTTCCATAGTCACGCCACTGATCAGCTTCGTTGACGTTATTCATTTTTGTTACTTCTTTGAAAAGTTTAAGGATAATTTAAGAGATACTGATGAAAACAGAGAGAGCCTTGGGTTTTTTTTCTATGTAATTCACCCTTTATTAGATTGAAAGTTCAGCAGGGAAGCAGGCAGCTACGCAGGGCGGTATACAGGCCGGCTAGCTAGATTGCTGAAAAATAAGTCAATCAGGAGAGATTGCTTCATTTATTTCGACCGTTCAGACGTCGAAGTATTTGCACTGCTTTTGCCGTATTATTTGCCCTGATGCCTTGACAACTTGTCGAATAGCATGCTTGAATAAGAAGTAAAGGTTTACTATATAAGGTTGCTTCACTTATAAACACCCTTGCATCACTTCCCATCTGCTTAGTCGTCATTCAGTTGAGGAGTGACGTTTGAGGGGTAACAGCTATTTATAATTTTAGAGAGTAATATTACCTCAACACATGTCGCTACATACGTGCACATCCGGTATCCTATGCATGTCGAAGTTCAGAGCTTGTACGCCTTTAACACCAATGACTTCCGCAGTTTGTGTGGTGGGTTCGTCCTGACGGTCATAAATTCAGTCGGTGAATGGGACGCTTTGGTGCATTTTACTTTGTGACTCGTTAAAAACGTAGACATGGCAAGACGCTCACCGTCCGGATTGACCCGAGACAAGTTGGCGGAATGGCTTTTCTGCCTGGTGTGCTTAGAGAAGCACGATGCTGTCGTGTTTGCACGGGCTATACACTGAATGCCATAAGCAGATCAACTTTGCGAGCAGACTGGTTCGCGGTCCGTACATGAACGCTAGTGATTGTGGGGCGAAAGCCAGCCTACTCCGCAGACAATAAGTCGAAATTGTAAAGAAATAGTTCAATCACTATACAAAGGCCGATTTGGGGGGTCAACGTCTTATTAAAAAAGTAAGTATGCTTTGGGGGGGTCAATGTCTCATTAAAAGTAAGTAAGCCTAACCTTTGAATTGCTGGGGGAAAAAATAATAATTTTGAAAAGGAATCATTTTTCAGGATAAAACTCGAAATAGCACGGGGAGCACAAGTGCGTTTTGTCTATAAAGCAGTGGAGTGACAGAAAATTAAACTAAGCGCGGATGATGTGCTCACTCCATCTTTTCCTCGTGCTAGGAAAAGAAAAGAGCAGCATTCTGTATATTTTAATTATGATCAAACCTGTTCAGTCTCCATGTAGAAAATAACAATAACGTCGGCCAAATCAAGATTTGCATGCCCTCGTTATTTTTTCGGTTTTTTTTTTTTGGTTTTTTGGTTTTTTTTGGGGGGGGGGGTTTAGAGCATTCTGTGGTTCAAGATCTTGAGGGTTGGAAAAATGAAGAAGAAGAGCGGAAGCCGTGCACTGGGGCCAATTTTATAGAGCTGCTTAAGTACAAAATTTGCTTAAGCACAAAAACGTCTTGTTTAATAATCAGGTTACCGGCCAAAACTCCATGCGATTGTTATTCTAAGTAAACAACAGCTAAATACCAGTCACAAGCAATGTACATCACATGGAGTTTTGGCCGGTAACCTAATTTTACTAAGCAATGTTTTTTCGTGCTTAAGCAAATTTTCTGCTTAAGTAGGTCTATGAAATTGGGCCCATGTTACAGGCCCAAACTCCATGTGATGTACAGTGCTTGCGACTGCTATTTAGCTGTTGTTTACTTACCAGAGCAATCGCATGGAGTTTTGGTGGGTAACCTGATTATATTAAGCAAGGGTTTTTGTGCTTAAGCAAATTTTGTGGTTAAGCAGCTCTATATTTTTGGCCCAAGGACTGCGAGTTCGTATTTCTGTGGAATTCGGATGAAATTGGGCCCTAAAATTGCTCTATTGTGCAATGGAGCCAAGGCATCACTCTTTCAAAATGGCAAAGGGCATCAGAACTACTTCAACGGGTGTTCATCTTTGGATGAAATTTCAACCAAAAGTCATTGGTTAATCCAACAAATTTAAACGGAAAATGAAAGATGATGAAATTAACTTTAATTTAATGTGTGTTGCAAACACTACGCAAAGTTGTGAGTATTTTTTTCTTAATTACAAAATTGGGCGTATTTATCACAGGGATATATGGCAGTTTATTTACTGTCCTCCAACGTCCTTTTGCCTTGAAGGGCACCACCAAGTGGTTGATTCAGTGAGGCTTTTTTCCTCTCAATGTTAACATAATATGGCATTGTCTTCGCGCAAATATTACGCAATTTCAGATTTTTGTTTGAAAAACGATGGGTTTATTTGAAAGGCTTCAAATTGCATTTGGGTTCTCGTTGTGCCGCGCAGAAACAATGAAGCACGGATGGATACCATAGGATGCAGCCTTTCAACCTAGACTGGAGACCTGATCTCACATCGCACCTGAAAATGACGCGAAGCAACAGCCTCACTGCGTCTGAAATTTTGAAGATGCCGCCTCATTCGTGCTTTAATCGTTGCTATTTAAATTAAGACGACCCCTTCCCCATGGGTCAATCGGACAACGAAGCACTTGTCGGCCTCAGACTCTTCATCTGGATGTGACATTGTCACAGTGATGGCGCACTCATGCACCTCTGGGCCCTATACTAATACGACACTTGTGTTTATGAAACCGGTAGCGGATCTAGAGGGGGTTTGGGGTTGCAAACCTTCCTTCCCCCTCCCTCCCACCCAACCAAAAAAAGGAACCACAAATATTAATAATATTATATTAATAATTGTCAGAGAATGTAGGAAAAAGCATCGTAGATTTCAAATACCCGGACCTATAGCAAGAGGTGTCTTTGGCATTCACGCTGGCTCAGCTTGTCAAAACAATGGCGGGGCGAACCACATACACTCGCACACGTTATACGGAGAGTCGGAGACAAACCGATCAGCTGAGCAATTTGCGGCCACGAGGCATAGAGCCCAATACTGGCCCTGTACCATGGATAATAAACGTTTTGAATGACACAGTTATTCATTGGGCGTTGCCAGACCGATCTTGGCTACTGAAGTCCAAATCAGCTGAATTTCAACTAATAACAAAATTGTACTCTGATGCAAAAAAAGGATAAAGACGAAGAAATGTCCTGCCAACGGTAAAGACATCTGAAGCAAAAATGAAACAGTAAATAGACAGGAACCAGGACACAACACACAAGGTATGTGTGCAACTCTCATGTGTAGGTATACTTTATTATATGACGTATAAAACCAAACGCTAATGTGGTTTAAAACCAGTGATCTCATGTGATTTATTTCAAACTCTTGTTGATAACACGTTAGCAGGGAAATACCCGTTGATAAACACAATCAGACAGTGAATTTCAAAATATAAATTTGCTTTCATCGGGAGTATTCACAATCATACATTTGGGTGAATATTCGTATTTAACTAAATATTGTTTCATGTAAAGGTGTTAAAAAAGTACATATACTTTAATGTTACATTTATTTACTTTGCCTATTCTCCTTAGATGAGACAAAAAACATCAACATGGGGGTGCTGCCGTAAGTGTCAGCAAGCTGCTGTGTTAAACATTAATTAAAAGAACGCCCTCAAGAGTATGTTCACGAGAAAGTTATCAGCTTGGCACTGTTCCATTAAATTAAACGGCTTTCTTACAGCGTCAATTAACCTTTAGCCTTTAAATTCTACGTGGGTGCTGCTCTGTCATCTAAGTGTTCTGTTCATTGTAAAAGCACAAGGGCGCCCTCTATGTTATACACACGATGGTACTAATATACAGTTAGTAAACTTCAACCTTCAAAACTTCAGGGGAGGGGGCGTGTCAGCGAGGTGCTGCTGGAAGTGGTACAAGTGCACCCTCTAGAGTGTTTCAATGGGTGGTTTTAAACCTAGGCCTCTTCCGAGCAAACTGACTGTCTCCGCACAATGTGGAGTGTATTTATTCGTCTCTATTCAACTGTCAATTAAGCATAATCCCTCAATGCGTCTGGAACGGAGCTAGTGTGTCAACAGGTGCTCTTCGTGAAGTGCAAGGGCGCCCTTAAGAGTGCTGCACGTGGTGGGAATAAACCTCAGACTGTTCGAGATTGCTACTGCGCAGACTCTCTCATCCATCTGGGCCTTGCTGTTGATGGCGACTCTGTTTTAGAAGTTCCTTCAACCTCTCAACTTCTTCTTCTTTCTGGATATTACCCACACCGACAAGAAAAGACAAATACAGACTCTTTCACAATGAAACGTGCATTTGATATGTGGGATACGGGAGTTCACGTCATGGCCTTGAATTAACCCATTTTGACCGACATTTAATTGTTTTGGATGGTATGACTGATAATCACATAATGGTGAAAAATGTGTGTTTAAACAAATAATTGCACCATTAGGCAATTTCCATTATTTTCGTACAAAAACGAAAAGTTCTCAAACATCCGATATTTCATTGTTTTAGCCTCTCTGTCTGTGACATTAGTGGAACTTCAACATTGGGAGAAAATATATCTTTAAACGTGTTTTTCAGAGGTTTTGTGTTGTTGAACTCGTTAAGTACAAGGCTGAGACTTTGGGGAAAGGGGCTTCCCGAGAGAAATTGAAGAAAGCAACATAAAAAATATTAATTGTTTCAGTCACAAAACTGTAAAGTTTAGAAAAATCACTGCTCATAATACCGATATGATTGTTAACTTATGATTGTTCTTATTCAGAATGTGTGGGTGGTATTCCCCAACTCTGAAACCGTTCCCTCAAAGACCTAATATCGAACCTATAATATTAAAGGGCCGATTGTTGGTCTAATAACTATGAGACAACAAAAAATTAAATTGGTTTGTGATAACTTTACCTATAAAGATATACCTAACGGCAACGGTATATCCAGATTTTATGTCCGTAAGAATTTATCACTGAACCTATTTTGAAAAATTTCAAAATAGGTTCCCCCGACCTCCTTCAACATACTATCGGGCACCGCACCAAGCTCCCCTCTCCGGCTTGATACACCCCGGCCCTCTACCAAAGGGCTTTGACTCGAGACAAGGGCGGATCCAGAACATATTTTTTTGGGGGGGACAAATTATGGTCCCCAAAGATTGGGTCCCAAAAATTACGGCGTGGGGTTCGGGGCCCGCTTTAAGGGCACCTAAAAAAAAGTTTGATTCTAGATGCGATCTGAGGCAATTTCGGACTACTCTAACCAATTGGGTTCCTTTCGGGGTATAGCCACCGTTCCCCCCCCCCCCCCCCCGCCGCCTTGATCCCCTTGACTCGAAATGTACTTTCCTTTACCTTTTTCAGCCTATTCTTGAGTTCCATCATCTCTCTTTCCTTCTCCTTGCTAAAGGAATTATCCCCGCTTCCAGTGCCCGTAGATCCCGCTGCAGCAGGTGCCACTTGATTATGCACCGAATAATGGCGTTGGTCCTCGGAGGTGCCATCGTTCTTCTGCTGTCTCAATGCAATAACCTAACGAGAAAGTGTTATTATTTGTAATTGAAAACAGTGTCTAACGCCACCGAGCGTTCTGTTCAGTAGGGTTTTATCACGTCATTATCCTGAACCGCTTTCAGCGATGTACATTCTATAAGGGACACATGGAAACCATGCAGACCCTCCTCATGTGGTTGACAGGGAGATCAATCAGCTAAACTCAATGGGATTGTATTACACCAAAATATGGTTCTTGCCAAAGGGGCCAGTGTTTGGCTAGGATTTCAAGGGCCAATACTTCAACCAGGCTAAAGCGGCTATCAAATGTTTCTCCTCCCCCTTCTGCCCCTCCCTCCCCCTCCCGCTGCCCCAGGTCCGATGTCAGGATTTGGTCACGTTTTTATGCCCCAGGGTGGGGACTCAAATTGCATCGTTACCATTGGCGCACTACATGGAAAGGCAATCACTAGTGCGCCCCAGTATTGTATGTCAGGGCATAGTCGGGGATTGTCACTTAAATTTGGGGTGGGGATGTTGTCACTTTAAAAGTGACAATCCCCACGTCTTGGGTGGGGCAGCCCGGGGAGGGGTGGGGAAACAATTGATAGGCGCACAAAGGGCACTCACCAGGATGCTCTGTTTAAAGGGGAACTTAATGAAAAATGTTTTGTTGATTTTACAAACAATGTTGGAGCAATAAAAAAATTAAGCAAAACGGAAAGCATCTGTTGTTCTTATCCCAGAGTAGATGAAATAAGTTGTCTGTCATACAAATTGTCTCTGATTTAAGGAGGCGTATTGCACCCACCTTAGGAATAAAGATCAAGCAGTTGGTGACAGTTGTACCGAAGATGATGCAAGACGCCGTCAGGATGTAAGAGGTCCCGGGCATGTCACTGCTGATGAAGGTGACCAGAGGGGCGACGATGATGCTTGGAACAGCCACGTTGTAGATGGCCACCGCGATGTACTTGGAGTCATTCAGTTGAGGCATGGTTACTTTCCTGCAAATTTGTGTGTATTAAGAAGAAGAAAATGGGATTGGGGGTGACACTCTGACTCGGACTCTGATCCTGTCGATGTCTTTGCCGGCATAAACCCTCATCATCACCCACGACCACCAACACAATCAAAATCACCGCATCAAGATCATCGGAATGATCACTTATCTCAATCACAACTGCAAGAATCATCATACACTCTTAAAAATGTTGGGCCAGATTCGACCCAGAAACCGGGTCAGATTCGACCTGGCACTCAGGTAAATTCTGATACGATGCCACTACAACTCAGCCTCTGATGAAATTGATCAAATGGCAGCGTATAGGGTAGTTGGGTGGTTATCCAACCCTTCCATCCAACCAATGCTAAAACCCAATTCGCTTTAACAAAAAAAGTCAAAAATCTGGCCGATCTATGATCATTTTCAGGGTCTTTAGTCTCTGTTTGTGCGGACTTTACCCCCTCCACCTTCCCCTTGAAAAACACTAGACTTGGGATACATCCGACGCACATTAAAAACCATTCAGCTTAAATACCTCGGAAATACCCTCCCCTCTCAATATATCCCTCTCAATAAATATTGTGGATCAACAAATACTAATTGTCAAGAATGCCAAAGTGCAAGTAAACTTTCTTTATTATCTTTTCTCTCACCTCGTTTCCCACGCCAGAACGGCCCCGTACATAAGCAGGATTCCCTTCCAGCAGAGGATGATACCGATCCAAAGAAATCGGGGCGAGTCGGGTGAGTCGCACTTGTCCACCATGCGGACTATGATCTTGTCGGCGCTCTTATCAAGCTGTTGTAAAAAGAGTGGAAGTCTTTTTCTTGTTCCTGTAGATATGCATCTTATTTTTATTTGATTGCAATAGACGTAAACATTGCAGAGGACTTGCCATTGGAATTTGGTCTAATACGCTCCCCTTATGGCGAGGAACTATTCAGGAGAAATCGTTGTCAGGAAGTGACTTTATGAAATCCATGCCATTACAAACTGTGCATCGGTGCTAAAATTTCCCAGTACTTGCCAGTGAATGATTTATATACACAAAGGCGTTAATTGTGTGATCTGGTATAGATTTCAAAACAGTTTATGTTCTTGAGGTCGCGTGTTCAACTCCCACTCCATTTAGGTTCGTCTCTATTGATTTTGTTACTGTTTGACATTAGTGCAATGCATGGCGTAATGAGTGTCTTCTAGATGGGAGACTTTTTGAAACACTTGGTGGCGGCAGACAGTTTCTTCCCCACAGTACATGAATTATTCTTTCGATCCCACTTCTGCCACCCAAATCAGTGTAATTTACTCGTAGGCCCTACCTGGTCGGAGAGGGTGGTATGGATCAGTCGGCTGGGATCGATGGCTGTCCATACGGAGATGATGATGACGTCAACAGCAACAACCACGCCAATGATCGCAAAGAGATGATAGTCCACAATCTTTTACAAAACAACACAAATAAACTGCAAAATATGTGTGTTGACATAATGATCCTTAGAAAGCCTAAAATCATTTGTTTTTGCTTGAGAACTGTGTCATTGGGCTGCTTATGTCCATTCACTGCTCAGCAAATCGTTAAGCATCGATCAGCTGAGAGTCGATACTAGAAAATATACTGTATGACGTTTAGCAGGCAAATCGGTGCGCAGAGCCAAGTAAGTATTTTGGCATAAGCAAATTTGGCTGCAAAGTAAATGTCAGTACCATCAAGCTCCAAGGAATTTAATAACGGGCTAGTCGCAGCGGTGCATGCACAAAATGAAGCTCAAGGAAGTCTTGTGGGCATACCTTGGTTCTCTTGGTCTTGTTGCTGAAGATGACGTGGACTCGCCAGGTCTTGGCAAAGAGTCCGCCAAACGCCAGGGAGAAAGATATGGGCAGAATCCAAATCTGTGCCTGTGGTGAAATGAACAAGACGGAGAAAGTAGTGATGACTTTAGCTGTAATAGAGCTAAGTCAACAGCCTCATTCAAAGGAAGCGACCGAGGAACCAGCAAGAGGCTGGATCATGCAGAGCATCGCGGAAATTGGGGTGCGATGGGGTGCAATTTAGTTTTCAGTAGGGAAATCCACTAGCGTGTTTCAAGTTGGGACTGTGTTTCTAAGGAATTGAAGCGAGAGTCATTGATCCCTCCCACACATTAAATATTTTTAACAGGTGGAATGAGACATTCCCGAAAGGTTTGCTCATGGACCGAAACCTAGATACAGGATTTTTTTTGTTTGAAGAGGAATTATTAAGGAATACATAGCAGCGTTTTTGGGACCCTTTTTCATATTTCCTTTACCATTAATTTTATATTTTTTGAATTAATATCAAATATCAGCTTCGGACCTTTTCTCTCTTTTTTATTTTTTTTTGGCGGTTGTGTTTCGGGGATTGGCTGTTGAATTCACTATTTCGCATTCGCTGTGTCAACAAAAGAATCCTTTAGCAACATGATTACATCAATAATACTTAAAATTTAATTGATATAATCATGTTGCTTAAGGATGTAACAAAAGCCTCCACTAACACGGCTGTAATTCCTGAATTCAGGAACAGTGTAAGTAACCAAGAATAATTGCAATATTTCTAAACAAAATCAACGAGTAGTCGAAACTTTGCAACAACAACAAAATGTCAAAGTCAGTTTTTATAAATTTGAAACGTCAGGGTCTTACCAAGCAGACGGAATTGCCGACCGTTTCAGACATATAGTTTTGGTTCAGCCCGGCCACGATCACGTCCACGTAACACATGAAGCAGCCCACCGCTATCACGTTGTTCACGTTAGGACACGACATTTTGATCACTCTGCATAAGTAAATTATGAAACATTTAACCCATTTTTACAGTGTGAGTCAAAAAAACTATACACTTTTAAAATTGGCCATAGTTTTATTTTGTAGCAATATAGATAAGATATTTTCATATGTACTTTTTAGAGTAACTCTTCCTGCTTCTTTTGGTGACATTTTTACTAGATTAGTTTTCATGCATGACTGCACAGGAGACAATTAAAGGAGTCGGGTGAAATCTGACTTGCGCCAACTGGTCAGGGCTGGATCTTAAAGGAGACAATTTTAAAGAACACAAGCATTGTCTTGGTTCTGGTCATGGAATGCATAATCAGTTCAGATTTGTGGATCTTGCTTGCAAGAGTTTCAGTAGGCAAATCTGGATGACATCCAGGAAAAGATAACTCGTGAAATTGACATTCTCAGACAAGACAGGGAGATGATTCGCCGTGCTGTTGCTGGAATGATGCGCCGAGCCCAGCTGTGCATCAAACAAGATGGTGGCCATGTTGAGGACTAAGCCACCGTGGAATTTAATTGCCTTTTTAATTTAATTTCAATGTTATAAATAAACACGAAGTTTGAAAGCTAATGAAATCCTTTTTTGTCTCTCTGTTAGACAATGGTTGTGTTCTTTAATATCGTCTCACTATTATCCAGCCCTGATGACCAGTTGGCACAAGTCAGATTTCACCCGATCCCTTCAATTGTCTCCTGTGCAGTCTTGCATGAAAACTAACCCAGTGAAAATGTCACCAAAAGAAGCAGGAAGAGTTACTATAAAAGTACATATGAAAATATCTTATGTATATTGCTACAGAATAAAACTATGGCCAATTTTAAAAGTATAGTTTTTTTGACTCGCACTGTATTCATTTATTTTGAGGGTTGTAAAACAGACACAGTAAAATAAAAGGGGAAATCAAACACATGTATGAAACTGTTTGATCTCAACAAAGGAGAGATAAATGACCACCTTTTGTTTCTGTAACTGATGTTGATGACCAGAAACAGCACTGTTCCTCCCATGCCTACCACAGCAAGTACCGTGAAGACAACAAACGTTACGGCATCGATACCAATGTAGACATTCTCACGAACCGGACCGTCTATAGGCGTGGCACCCCCTGGGAAAACAAATCGAGTTCCATATTTATTCTAAGGAAAAATAAAACCAACTTAGACCCAAGAGTAGTGGACGTTCAATTTCCTGTTATCTTTCGGCGTATATTTAAATACCGAAAATGTTACCTTACAGGCAGATATTACATTATAAGTCTTGCACAAGCTAAAAACCTTCCTAAATACTTCTGTTCCCAAAACCTTTTGATTATTACTATTTTCCCCTTAAATCAAAATTATCTCATCGATAAATTAAGAGAAGAAAAACAGTCCATGAAAATGAGCAGCGACGACGTGAATTCGAGCCAGAGATCTTTGTATCCATTGCTCATCTTGCTATCCACTAGGCTACTGTGTGGTAGATCTGTGTGGTAGACTGGTTGACTAAATAACAACAATGTTTTTGATATCATTGTTCCGTTCTCATGGTTAAACATACTGGCCCTATCGAAACTACTGAATTATTCATGACTTGGCCCCAACCGTCCTGGGAATAAAAATACCCGGACTGTCACCCCGAGTAGTGCTTCCCAGGGGACAACGCACGAAGGAAAGCCACACGACCGCGGCAACCATCGAGCGGGATTTTAACAGCGAAATTAAAACCTCGCGAACTGAGAGATATAAAATCGCTAGGTAATTGACCTCAAAGTAGAAGTAGCAAACAATAAATCGTTTTCAATGTAGGGGTTTAATTTTAAGGCTAAACCGCAGGGGAACGCACCACTTAATGCCTTGACTAAACAAGCGACATCAGAAGGACCGAATGGAGCTATAAATCTCCATGGAATAATGGGCAAGCACTAAAGTGGCAATTTACAATCTCGCTCGTTCTTAAATCCCCCAACGTCATTAAAGCGTTTTTAAAAATGCGTTATTTGCTTTATCACTTAACAGCAAGAATCAACGAAACTGGCCGGTGTATTGTGCATTACTCGAAGCCGCGATTATAATAATACTACGAACGAGCCATCCGTGAGGGCAAAACAGAATGCTGTTTTTTAAGTGTATGCGTTTTCACTTTTCGTCGCATCGTTCCTTTGAAAGAGGCCGGTCGGTTTGTGACGTAAACAATGGCGAGTCACTTAGGGCGCAAATAGCGCAATCGAAAAAAAAAAGATTTGATTATGCTGCAATTTAGCGAGGGCAATTCGCACTCATTCGGTTCGGAGTTGTTTTTCTTAGGACAGTCCTTCCTCCCCTGTGACCTTCATAAGAATAGCCCACTATAGCTCCTCGACCTCCAGGGCTTTTACACTAAATCTAAAGTATGCAATCTTTGTGGAAAGATTTCATGGATTTTTTTTTTACCCGTAAATTTTAGTCTCTCTTGTTTGCTCCACTGTAACCCCTGCTCTTGCAAGTACAGTCCGACGGTTACCTCAACGCCATCTGATGAAAACAAAAATATGGCTGTACTAGAGGACTGCATAAACAAAACTCCCTCACAAAACAAAAGTATTCAGTAAAGTTTTCTACTCTGAAGCAAGAAGAAATGAGCAAATAATCTCAACGGTTACCTCAACGCCATCTGATGGGGAAAAAATAACAACTTATAGCTGTACTAGAGTTTTGTATGGAAAACTCCCTTACAAAACAAAAGCATTCAGTTAGTTTTCAACTCTGAACAAGAAGAAATGAGCAAATTGTTGAATGCTTCCAACTTTAAATAACATACGTGTAACGGACGGATTACCAAACCCACACAGAAACGCAAGATATATTGTATAATATATAACATATTATATACATGTAGTTTAATCTACTCAACTATAATGTTTCCCAAAATTTAAAGAAAAAGCTCTCGGACACAATCAGTTTAAAATGGGAACATATATTTCAAACTACTTTGTTTGAACTCTTACTTCGTTGACCAGTGCTTGGTGTGGAACCTGTACTCAAGTATGGCTACAATTGAATGTATCTCTTACCTAACAGCTGTTCGATTTTGAAAGGCGCCAGGCGATTTCCGGATTCATCAAATGAGACAGAGCCCTAAAATCATAGAAGAGACACAAAACAGATACACTGTCAAAAGATCCGGGCCGGATTTGAACCGGATTCTGGGTTCAATTTGGCCTGATACATTTCAGGGTCAAAAAAGCACACCTTTCTGGATCAAAATTGAAAAGTCGTACGTCAGGAGAATAAAATCGAATTCGTTGTACAGGGTGCAAAAAGAAGGCAACCCACTTTTGACAGGAATTTTAACCTATTTACTTAACTTATTTGAACAGGTTTATTTTATAATGTAGTGAAGTATAGCTCTCCAATACGTGGTGAAAACAATCTTTTAAAAAAATCGCCAAAATAGTGTTTTAGTATGCTAGCTTGAATACAAGTCACCAAAACCACTGTTGTCGACAAGAAAGTCTAGTGTAGTGTTTTTTGTCTTCATATCAAGCTTTGGAGCTCAGTCAAGCGAATGGAATAAAGCCGTCCGTGGACAAACAGGTTTGGCACATGAAATGTTTTAAGTACCGCAAAAAATATGCATTTGCAATCGTTTTTTTCGTCACTTATGTTTAAAGATCAATATTTTGATACCACTAAATTGAATTTTCATAATATGCTCAACAAGTAGGTGAAAATTGCTATCAAAAGTGGGTTTCCTTCTTTTTGCGCAACCCTGTAGAGCACTAAGGGAGTAAATTAAAATCTTAAAGGTACAGTCCACAATTTGCAGCTATCCAAAAAGTAACTTACGTACTTCATATCGCTGAAAAGCATACTTGGTCTAAAGATAGTAATGGGACTAAACTCCCTTTGAAAATATTCTTTCTGGCAATCTGTAATTTTTAAGAAATCAAATGAAAGAAGGCCTTTCTAACGGTGCGTGTAAAGACGCATCGTTGGAAATGTCTGTTACCCGGACGGGTAGTAGTTCGGTTTTTTTATTCGGCGAATCGTGAGAAAGCGTTGACACGACGCACACGCGCGCGCGGTTGCTATAATTCGCCGATTCAGTGCGCGACATCGCGTTGCTGCATTCGGCTCAGTGAGAACGTGTCTCGGACACTTAATTCAGGCCCCATTCAAAACATGACACCTCAACTTTTGATTTGAAATCGAGGTCCTACAATATTCTCAAAATAGCCTATACCGCATTCACTGAGCTGAAACTTCATCAGGTTAGTTGTTCAGCACCCTTCTTTAGATTATGAGCAGTTGTGTTGCTTCAAACGAACATAATGCACAAATTACAAATGGTGGACGCTACCTTTAATGTGCATACGAATAGTAGAAAACACCAAACTGGCATAATCATACCGTGATTCCTTCGAACTGCAGGTCGGACAGCGCCTCCACCAGTCTCTCCCTAAGATGGTAAGTGTTGTCGTAGTCGAAGTTCTCGATCCCAATGGAGGAGTTCTCGGCGGCCAAGCTCTCCGCCACGCGGTGCAAGGCCAGCGCCACGGCCCAGACCGAGTCATAACCGAACGGGGCCAAGTCCACGCCGGGAAACGGGACGCCGCCCGTGTAGGAGGCGTAGGCTTGCTGGTACTGACTGGCAGTCTGATTTCATTCAAAAGAAAAACAAAACGTGTTCATCACAAGTCCGATCTTTATAAGTAAAGCACAGGCCATACCCAACCAGGATGAACAATGAGAGAAGGTTTTTGTCACATTCGTTTTCAACAGCTTGTGAGTTGGCCATGCACTTGTGGAATTGTGAGAGAATTAAGTTTTCCTTTTTTTCAGAATCTCACAAGCTGACTTCTTAATGGAGAAATATTAAGAATAAAAAGCACCAGAAATGTACGTTTATTTTAACAGGTTATGACGTGCTGATGCCCTGGTTGACTGTCCCCATTAGGCCTAATGTCTCGCATGTGTTGTGGCAGAATTATTATACATGTATGATACCCGAACTTTGTTCCGATTTTGAATTTACACCAACAGATCTCATTTTCGGTCCAGGGTAATTCGCGAATGTCGCATTCTGGTTCGTAGTTTCGGGAAATTCATCTCAATGTTGAGCTTGACGTCGAACTAAAAAAAAATTATTAGTCATTTTCGGTCGTGCATATCCCGTTTGCGCACAGGGCGACGTTAGAGGGCAATTTGGGTCACCGTGATTATGCATGCAGAGCCGAAAATGGGATATATTCTGTAAATTATGTTTGTTTGCTTGCTATTTTAGACGCTCAGGTGTCTGCAAATTAAAGGGAATGTACAACATTTGCTTTTGCTGCAATTTTCAGAAATGAACGGATTTGGAGGATTAGCATGTTATAGCAAATATTGTTAAACTAACTTGTTTCACGTTTTGGGCTTGTAGATGCTGGAAAAACCAAGAAAACCAATCATGTTCTTGTAGTCTGGTTCCCTGACCCCACTTAAGATGAAACAGAGCAATTTATAGACTTTGGGGAATTGTAAGGTCAGAGAATCAGTCTAGCAGGCTTGTACCCCTTCACAGGTGTGTAATGAATTGCAAAGAAAATGCGGAATAACTAAATATGAAAAACTAGGAACAGGTTTTTGAAAAAGCCAGTTTTTTTCCAACGCTGGTCGGCCGACCAGCGTTGGAAAAATACAGTTTTTCTTGAAAATGTCAGCACACCAGGAGCCACGATTTTACAGGATGCTTTAGACTGTCATTCCCTTACAGTTCAGTAAGGTATATCGTGATAATTTGATCATTTCGTTTTTTTGATGTTTGCAAATGTTGTATCTTCCCTTTAAGACAACAGGTCTCATCAAATTGAAAAAAAAAGTAAATATCGTGTTTATTAGTACACACAACGGCCCCTGAATGTAAACACTATTCCAATGTACGGTTAGACTTGACTTAAGTCGGACTTTTTATAAGTCGATACCCACAACAACCGCTGGCACCAAAACCAGCCCTGAATCCCATTACTAACATCGTCCCATAAGCGTGAGACAAGTGCCGAATTAACACGCGTGCCACTTCAGTGCCGCACGACAATGCGCAAACAAAATTAATTGAGCAGAACATGTGCGTGCATGAGATTTCGAAAAGTCCGCAAGTCTCCGAAAGCACATTAAAATAACATATACATGTACATTTTCAACATGGTGGTCTGGAGCTGACGTGTGAGGGCGCGCTATACACTGCTCATACCTTGACCGTGCAGTACAGACGGTGTGCCTTCGGGTGCAGGCCAGTAAATCGGTTCAAAATTGCCTACGCCGGCCAAATCACGATTTCCATGCCCTCAAATTCTTCGGCATAAGGGCATTTTGTGGGCTATAAACTTGAGGGTTTGTAAAAAAAAAAAAAAAAAAAAAAAGTGGAGGCCGTGCAAAGGACCGTGTGCTTGTATTTTATGCTAGCCGTACTACGCATGCGTGAAGTGTACAGAGCCATACTACGCATGCGCGAAGTCCACAGCGCCATCCAAACAAGATGGCGGCCAACTTTTATCGACAAATTCGTCGTACATTTCGCGTTCAAAAAACCAAGTTTTAGAATAATTCTAACTTTAATTGATATGCAGAAGATATTCTTTAATACTTTTTCTACAATATAAAGCTGTTTTTAATGTTCAAAAGCCTATACAAAATTTGTTGACGCTCGTTGACGACCGTTTAGGCTTGTTGACGCTTGTTGACGCTTGTTGACGCGCTTTAGTAGGACCGGACCTTTCTTGTGTTTGTAAACATTGGCGCCATTTTATATGGGCTGCCGTAAGCGCATAAATTGAAGCCGTGGTTGGCCGTTCTATTCCCACAAAAACGTCCCCATAACGCCCTCAATACATAGAAGGAAAAAAGCATGTTTAGGAATAATGTTTTAGCTTTGTTGACAATGTTGTATTTCCAAGAATCAAATATTATTTTGGTTATCTGTATTAAGTCTTCTTCATATTTGCAGTGTCGGGCCTTCCATAGTTTTGCAACCCGTGGTTGGCAAAAGTGCAGTTTGCCAACCAAGCGTAGAAAGGTCTATAGACCATTATGTTGCAACATTTGGATTTTTCCCATACATATCTACGTAACCAAAGCGAGGCTGTAAGGAAAAAAATAGTCTGGTTCCTTTTTGCACAAAAACCATTTTCATTCAGTAATGTTATTGGATACTGGGAGCATGCATGACTAAAATAGTGGAATCATTGAAAAACCTCGCATTTCATGCTTCACTGCGGTCAAAAAAATCGTTTGCACTGCAACCATCATTGACGTGTGTGTTTTTATTCAACAGGGCCCAAAAATATATATATTCGCTATAGCCAGGCGCGGATCCAGAGAGGGGTGTTGTTTGTGTCAAATCCACCCCCCCCCCCCCCCGCTTTGAAAATTGTATAGATAATAATTACGTACATGTCCGCCAGAGGCGTAGCAATTCGTGACAAGGGTGATTTGTACACTATAGTGTGCATTATTGTAGGATTTGATCATCGCTCCCCATTGAAAATATGGTAAGGTGCCCCGTCCCCCCCCCCCCCCCCCAACCTATAGACTCTCGAAGGCTATTAGTGTCCGGAGACAAAAACCAGTGTACATTTCAGCACGCCTCCTTGCAAAAATTTCTGGATCCACCCCTGCTAGCCCCCCTAAAATATAGGCTCTAGAATCGCGCCTGCCATTCTATCCTACACGAACTTAATTATTGTAGGGCCGGAATTTATTAGAAGCAATTATTTCACAAGTAAACATTTCGTTTCCTGGCTCATTCAAAAGTGAATTACTTTCATATTTTTTAATCAATTGAAAAGAAAATTTCTTTTTCAGGATTAAACTCTGAAATAGCACAGACAAGTAAATGTTTATTAGGCTCATTCAATTTTATGTTTTAACGTAATGCTTGAAAATGCTCCTTTGTGTTCCATTTAACCTTATTTTCAATTATCGTTTTGCCATTTTAAAGGATATTTTGGTGCCATCTTGGTCTATGAGATATTGCAAATTACTATATTCATGACCTAATGTGTGATGTTATTTCAGGCAGAAACCTCCATATCACAACTATTACTGCATAAAAAATTGCCACAATTTTTGACTTTTTGCTGATTGTAAATTTACTTTCATTGGCATTTCGTTGTCATGTCAGTACATGGCAGTACGCCAGTGACCAAACTTTTCTCACAAATGTTTTCCATGAACAAATGTTTGGGTTCACAATTAAAAAAAAGAACCCTAAACCGAACAGTGTCTTCTATTAAATTCCATCACAGCAACAGGGCCCTCGGTTGTCCAGGAAAGCATGGAAAACTTGTACATTTTTAAAGAAGTGCACTTTTTTCAATAAAATCACCCAAAAGGGATGTCGAATAGTATTTATGCATTTAAGAGAAGCAGAAAGTTGCACAAAATGTGTTCCTAAGAAAAAATCATCTCCTGGATCCTTTCACGACAAAAATGCTCGTCTTCTTTGCTTACTTGGGTAATTGGCAAATCAGTTGAGCTGGTAGCCTTAAAAAAAAATCGATGGCTTAACCTTGAGCTGTAATTTGCAAGAAGCTGATTTCCCAGTTGGCGTATAATTAATGACCCGCTCTCTGGGGGAGAACTGGAAATGAACCATTCATGCAATTATAATTAGAATTGATCATCTGAACCGTTATATTATGCAACGGCTATTAGAGTGTAATTGGTCTCAAATTGGAGAGCTCTCAGTCGGACGAATGATCAAGGATGTATTCAAAGGTGGGGGGGGGGGGCTTGAGTCATTGAAGTCCAACATTTTAAAGGAGAGCTTACAGAGGTGCCCTTTGAAATTCATATAAATTCATATCACAAGTATTTCCATACTTCTGTGAACGAATACAATAATTATAATAGTCATTTTCGCATAGATAACTGCAATTTCGTTTGGTGGACTGCTTGCAATTTATAAGCAGTATGAAATAAATATTGTAACATTATTTATAAATATTTGAAATTGTATGACAAGAACTTAAGCTATTTCGACAACAATCAAATGATGTGCACGATCGAAAATAATATAGGGATATCACTATCTACACGTTGAAAAACTAATTGAAATTCATATATTTAATGAATGATTTTGTTTTTAATTAATTTGATTTTGTAATTTTCCATTGGAAAACAATCATGACTGAATGTCAAGGTCTCCACAGGTGAAATGAACAGTAAGAAATGTGCTGATTCTCCAACACCCTGGGGACAAGACTCGTTTCATAGACTTCTTACCAGTCCGGAGACTGCTCGCTCGTTGTCCGTGCGCAAGTCCAGGAATACGGTGCCCACGTGATTCTTGACCACCTCGTACATCTGTTGCTCGGAGCAACCCAGCCACGTGACATTTCTCCACCAATCAAGGCTGTTCCAGCTGTCAATCATCCACACGTACCTGGGGCCGTACATTCCCAGGTGGTACGCCTGTGGAAGGGAATTGGACGAGATAGGGACAAGGAATCATTCAAACAAGCCAGACCGGTATGCCAACTCCGCATGCGTTGTGACCTAGCTCGCCAAATTCGCTGCCGAATCTTGACGTCACTTTGTTTGAATCTTGACGTCACTTGAGGTCAATTCGTTGCAAACATAATTAATCTTTCACGCGTACTGCAACCGCGCACGAGAACACATGCTTTGCTAAATGGCGGTTGTAAACAAAGTTTTATAATGTTTATTTTTAGACAATTGGTGGCAGCAAACGCACCGGCCCTTTTTCAAATGCTTACGCCATGTTTAAGCTAATGTGAGCATGCTCAAAATAACGCAAACGATAGAAAAAAAACCTGTCTGTGTGCTGCCACCAAGCGTCTCAAAAGTCTCCCATTGGCTGATATCGCTTCTGGGTAAGCAAACGTAAGTGCAAATATTGCTTTAACTCTTGTGGTGACAATCAGCGACAAATAACTTTACCCATTTCAGGTAATGTGTAAAGATGTTCTATAAGCATCGGCGGATCTAGACATTTTCAAAAGGCAGGGGGTGGTCCTCCTTCGGGGCGTCAGATGCAAGATCATGTTGAGCTCACTAAAGAACCCACGTCGGTAATTTTGAGAACTTTATTACATGAGAGGCGTCATGACCTGTATCATTTTTACGCCGGGGAGCTTTTCGAGGTTGTGGGGGGGGGGGGTTCGGTGGACCTTGGGTGTCGGGCGGCAGTGCTCCCCACCGAACCCCACTCTTCTCCCGTCCGACGTTCTCTACAAAATCAGGGTTGGAGATTTCTGATTGTGATCGTGTAAATATTAAACGTACGTGGAATGCGTCGTTATGGAATGCGCGTGAACCATTGTTTATGAAATGAGGCTGACCTGGTGATCAGGTGACGTCATATTCGGCAACGTTAAGGCCTTTTTACAAATTTGGCATAAATCAAGAGAAACTGCAATGTTCACTCACATAGGCCTATGCCTATAAATTTAAAAAAAATAATAAGAAGAAAAGTTTTTAAAAATGATCATTTCAACACAAAGCGTAAAGTATATTCTTTCCTCGAATATTCTTTCATCGAATATGAACAATAAGTGAAAATAATTTCTGTTTTTAATTTAATCCTTTGATTGCTTACATTTGCAGTTCTTTTTTTAATACCACTTACCTCACAAAGCATCCGCTTATATCCTTCCGTGTACGCACTTGAAACAATGATTCGAGCATCCTTATCCTGCCAAGATAGAAATAAAAGTACAATAGGAGAGGTCGTCCATCACATGTCGCGGGGGAAGACGTTTAGAAGAGGAAAGCATTTTTTTCACCAAACAAAACCTCTCACGCACGCCAGACGAACAAAGTGTGTTGATTCACAAAACATGAGCGCTAAAGCTTGGCATTCTCAATGACATGTGATGACATTCTCCACTTCAATTGATTCTCATGTACTGTAGTGCACTGCTACTTCTGTAGTGCACGAATATTTTAAAATGTACATTAGGCCCCCAAAAAACACCTGTGTTTCCAGTTACTCCCTCCAACTTAGAAAGTCACGCCGAAACTAAATCTGTTTATAAGAAAAAGTTTATGTAGCAAAAAATATGGTACCGCCCGCACTTTAGTTTGCGAACATCGTCCTGCATTTTTCAAAATGTCATTTTTTTTTAAAGTTGGTCAGTAATCATGCGGTCTTGCCGCGCAAAATGAACACTTTATTTAAATGTTAACTATTACGAATAAATGCCATAGAAAATACCCACCAACCAACCTTTTATTTCTATTAGTAGGCCTAATTTTAGGAAAACCATTTCTTGCCCTATGTATTTGATCCCATACGAACATATCGTTATACACACGTTCTTATTTTACTTTTCGCCGATCATTTCAACTCTTTATCATCTGATGGCTAACTCGCTTTCGAGCCCAAATGGGCGCTTTCCCGAGTTTTCTTTAAAGACATTTGCATTATTTACATGTGCATGTGTTTCTTGATCTCTGAGGCAGGAGACGACGTGGAGAGACGCCGCACTCACGACTACTCAATCAAAGGATTCCATTCATGTTGTTGTTCACAGTTGAGTGTTGCACCAAAACGGAAGTAAACACGCAGTTTCCGTCAAAACATCGCGTGTCACATGTAGCACGACATGTGACAGAGGACCCTCCCCCTTTTGTGTTGGCCATTGTGTTACCAGAATCTCAGGAAATCTTTGGAGATATCTAGGGGATGTGTTAGGTAACAATAGTCTAGGGTGTGTATAGGGTATAGGAAGATCGGGGGTACCCCTTTTGTCATAATATCGTGCTGGGTATATCGCGTGTTGTCCAAATCCTCCATGAATCAGTTTCTCCTCGCGGGAAAAAAAACCTTGTCTCCGCGCCATTCCCATGAGTCATTTCGTAGGAGATATTTAGGCACCTACTACAGGCATTTCAAATTATATCTCAAAAAGCTCAAAATTGCTAAATGAGCACGATTCTCGGCATACAAAACACAATACCAACTCGCTTTCCCGATTGGCAAGTGACATCAGTATCGTCCCTTCTCCTTGACTGTATCAATGAGGATACAGCCTTCCGTCGTCCTTAAAGAATGTTTGTTGTCCACACATCGCGTGTTGTCCGAACCCTCCATGAATAATTTTTTGCCCGCAGAAAAAAACCTTGTTTCCGCACCTTCCCCATGACTCACATTTCGTAGGAGATATTTAGGCACGCACTATGCAGGCATTTTAACTCAAGTCTTAAGAAGCTCACGATTCCTGCAAGCACACAATGTCACCTCAGTTTCCCAATTTGCAAGCGACATCAGGATCTTAATTCCCGAGAGAAGAAATGCAGGAAACATGCAACTAACCACGAAATTGAAGACAAGTAGGCCTAAATGTTCTCATTAAGCACGTACATATGACAATACTAAGTGAGTCAAAAAGAAAGGGAAACGAGTTCGAAATTTAAAAACAAACATAATAATATCAATGTGGCTTGATCCATTTGATAAAAACAATAACATAAAAGTAGAGTACAAGACTTGTTATAGGCTAGTAACTGTGACAATTTCACGTAATTTTTCATACTCTATTCACAAGCTATTTCCATTTTTATAGAAATTCCACAAAATTCAGCTGTCCACCACTGATCATTTACCGATGCGCATATGCAAGGAAAACAGGTAATATTCATCACTCTCATTCCAGAAAAGGACCTAAGTAATTCCACATAATAAAAAACACAACATTTTGACAGTTTCAGACTTGACTCAAATTTAATCTCATTTGAATTTGAATGCATGCGTGCACTCAGCTAGATCACTTCAAAGCATTTAGCATTCATTGGAAAATGGGTTCTTTAAGTAAAACATGAAAAGTTATGATAGCAAGTAATTTCTTTCACATGAGTGAACGTGCTCGTTGCTTTTTAAGGGGAAATAATCATCCGTCCAAGTTATTTTTTTTTTAACTCACAATTTATAGTAAAGCTGGTCCCAGAGCACATAACATTCTTTTCAATTGATTCCGAATGGCTTAAACAAATCGTAGAATTAGCGGTATCGGTAATGTCATTTACCGATTAATTGTCAAATCCACTATCGCCATTCGGAAGGACAATTGACTCAGTGCCTACGCGGGTGTGTAATACTGCTTCATGGTTGGCAAACTTTTGATATCCGTATCAAGGTGCAGTGTGAATTTAAGACTACGAAACACGGACTCATTGGTTGGTAGTATTGCGCATACCTAATTGAAGATACTTAGGAGACTGACTAGTCACGTGTGAGGGTTCAACCAATACAAGGGACCAGCTTTCATAGGAGTCCAAATTGCATGTGACAGGGGCACTTTTTTTACGGTACAGAATGATCATTTGCTTTTTTTTGCATTCGTTTTTCATTTGAAGCCATTCAATTGTTCAAGAGGGGTGCATCATAGCTAACTTTTCAAAAATATTAGCTCAGGGGATACTATACATTTTGAGAATACAGAGCAACCGAATGCACATTCTTTGGGGGCTCGTAACTGGATTCCGCTGCTAACGCAAGAAAAAAACACCTGTGCCCGCGAGCACCTTTTCTTAAACAACTTTTTTAAAACCACCTTCAATTCTTCGGGATGAACCATTTCAGGCGGAATAATTTCACAGGGTATTTGGTACCAGTCCTATCTTCACTTCGAGCAAGGATTTTCTCGTTCAATCGGTAGGTAAGTTCCCGTGTAATTGCAAATGTTGCTACGCGCCTTTAGAGTCAAACCAATCACAAGTCAATCAGAAGACACATCACAAGTCAATCGCAAGTAATCACAAGTAACGTGATTACAAACGAAAAAGGAAATGTGTTTTTTCACGGTCGATCTTGAAAAACCTTTCAGAGGATCGACTTGTGAGGACTTGACCTGGGAGAACCTGAACACTTACACATCGGTAACTCTTACATAAATAGTTCGATGAAGGATTGAACTCCGAAAGGAGCTATTGGAGGGCTCCACGTGATACATGATCTCTCGTCACAAAATTTATATCTATCCCACAGCCCCTCCAAATGTCAACATAATTATGGTTTCTCGCCCAACTGCGAACCCTGTGGGCTGTGGCGATTGTTCAAGAACAGGTTGTTCGGGAGCAATAAACAAAACAATGAAAACCACTCAGGCATTAAAACATCGTATTCATAAATACCTCAAACAGTTTCCCATTCGTATTGGCCGAGAACCTGTCACGTGGGTACAGTCTTAAGCCACCGTTTCACCACCGGTCAGCACTAATTCAAGACCAGTGCCCAATTTCATGGCGCTGCTTAACAGTTAACAGAAAGTTGCGCTTACAATAAAAAAATTAACAAATGTGCTAAACGCAAGCACTATTTCATGGCGAGGATGTGCTAACGGTTGCGCGCGCAGTGGAGATTTCTTTTGCTGCGTTACTAATTTAAGCACCTTTTTCCTCTGAGATTAGCGTGCCTTTTGCTGTACTTGCTGCTTTTACGGTCTCCATGAAATACAATGTAATACGAAGCAGAAAACTGTGTGCTTAGCAGCGCTATGAAATTGGAAAAACAGTGCAAGATGGTTTGTTACTGCTCGGCAGTAGGAGCCGTAGTAAGGGAAGGCAGCTTCTCCCGACACTTCAAGATGCACATAGTGCTGTACATTGTGCGTGCACGCGGTGCATTGTTCGTTACCTTTTTTTTCTAGTTCGCATTGAATACTTTGCTTCAAGCACGATCATACCTTTTACGGCCGCGTCTTTGAACCACTAAAAAAATTGGTGTCGGGTGAATGACTCCGTCATTGGCGGCAAGGCCCCTAACCAGTCTGAAAGCGCGCGTTTATGAATGCTTTATCACACTAGCACACCCTTATTTCCATCATACTCCTATGAAAAAAATCCGTCAGTGTCATTATCCATTGTATGTCATTATCCATTGTATGTCAATGTCATGAATTATTTTCAAGGAGCCAAGGTCAAAATTGCTTAGACTACCTCAGATTCATAAATGATTTACCGAGTTTTCTTTCAATACTTTTCTTTTAATATTATAAAGGCCTACGTCATGCTCCTATTCCAAGTATACACATTTCTTGACTAGCAAGGATTGGCAAACTGTGAAAGGTCAACGTTGCAATTATAAAGAAAACAAATGTTTTTAAACCTATCATTAAATTGAAAAAAAAGTAAGACTGCTGCAAACTGCTTACTGACTGGATGGACCTGAAATATATAAATCTAAAAATTAATGTGGCCTGACGTTGCGAACTTAGCAAGTTCTTCTTCAGAGGCTAAAACAGAAATAAAATATCATTCAATTGTTAAATATAATATAACCAACACACACTATCAAAGTCTGTAATAAAAATGTTTCTTTCTTTTATAATGAGGTTGATAATGATGCAATTGTTGTTAAAAATGTGTTGCCCATCACAGCTTTAATTTCTGCACTTGTTGCAACCCATACAAAATGACGTTCAACGTTGACAACATTAAACGAAAGAAAGGGGTGAGGGTGGGGGACTGGGGTGGGAGTGGGGGAGGGGGTTGGGGTTCTGAAACAGCCAACCAATCCTAGTATGTACTTGTCTGTCCGATTTTGTGAATTCTCTTAATTCCGTTCACCTACACGTACCTACATGAACGCATATATCTGTCTAGATCCCGAAAATAATCCGCCCATTGGTTCCTTCATTTGCCGTCATCATAAGAGCCATGTGATCCCACAAATCTGAAATCTTGTAGCTTTAATACAAATGTCGGTGATTCAACTCGTCACTTGCATTCACAAGGCTGCCAGATACACGTACATGCACCTATAGAAGTTCAATCTACTGATTTTGTTAATATATTTCCGACCCTGTCCGCATGATATCAATAAAAGCTGAGCCTTGGGTAAATTAAGATCGTAAGGTAGATCCTTCGATCGTGTTCAACCTTTGAAATAAAGCTGCCAACGTTCCTCTCGACTAGACTTTCTCCTGCAGAATCAACCGACTAGAAAATGTAATCCCTACGAGATAAGCACACTCGTGCAGGTATTTATTTCAAAGGTTTTGATCCACGAACCTTGAGGTTCTTGAGTTGGACCGTAGGTGTTTCTCCAGCCGCAAAAGACTCTTTAGCCACGAGGGTAAGGTTGTGCAGCGGCAACTCCTCCGACAATTTGTTCATTGCCTGGAAAGGAGGTAAATAAGCAAATAGAACAATATCAAAATGATTCTGATCCATGCATCTATTGTCTTGAAGTGATTCCAATGTATTGCTACGAACTCTGCATTAAGCCAAAAAATAGCCGCCAGAAACGAAACTAAAAATATAACGCAAGAAAAAAGTGAAGGGTAAACATGGGCGTCGCCGGGATGAGGCAGGGGGCACTCTCCCCCCCCCCCCCCCAGGAAAAAAAGGAAGAAGAAAAAGAGAAAAAAGAAAAAGGGGTGTGAAGTCATATTTGCTATTAATTCAATACTCATTTAACAAACGGGCGTCTGCAAGGGTGTCAATGGGGGTGTGATGGGTAAATGTCCCCCGCCCACCCTCCAAACAATGATAAATTTAGAATATGCTATAAAAAGTACAAGGATTTTTGGGGGAAATGTGCTTTCCCCCCCCCCCCCCCCGAAAAAAATCCTAGTGACGCCCATGAGGGTAACAATCCGTAATGATCATTCTTAAAGAACAAGTGTAATCCACGTTTTCCTGACCTTGTTACATCTGACATCATGACATCCTTCATTACTTAATTCTTCCTCCAAGATTGACTGGGTAAAGCAAACGAACCTCCAAACAAATGAAAACATCTGGAGCTCGTTTTTGATGACGCTTCATTGGCTAATTACAAGCTTCAGAGGTAACTTGGACAGGACAAAGGCCACACATTAGACCCTCTAGGACCCATTACACTGCAAAAACTGCAGTGTTAAATTTACACCATTGGTATCTATATAGGACCATCTGGTGTTAAATTTTACTGGTGTGGTCCTATATAGATACCGAATGGTGTTAAATTAAAACTACAGGTTTTGCAGTGTAGGCTGGATGACCCCTATGTGTTATTTTGTCAAAAGAACACATTGAACGTTTGAAATGTGTTCAAACACAACGTTTAACAGTGTGTAATATTTATCAATGACTGAACGATCGCCCATAAGTCCACGTAACAAAAAGCTGTCCAACGATTACGGTGTTCGACTTGTGTGTCGTGGTACATGCATGGTTCGAACCCTGACAGGGAACATGGTGCTTTTGCGCTTGGGCAAGACACTTTACTACGATTGCCTCTCTCCACCCAGGAGTACAAATGGGTATACCTGTGAAGGTACGGACCATATTGTGCGGAATTCATATATTTTTCTATTCATTCACGATATGACTTGGTGTTCAAGCGTAACGGGATTCACATGAATGTATGTAATATAATGGATGTCACACATAACAAATCTCCGCAATAACTTCTGCTTGGATTGGAAATACGTGAATGTCGGTATGATGATTTGTAATTTCATCAGCACGAATGTTGCTTTATTGTTTACTTAGAAGATAAAATATGTATTCTTTACGTGTGGGCTATATTGCTATTCAATTTGACATCTATATATTCATTTATTCTTATTTTATAGCTATTTATTTTGTTATGACGATTCATTTTTTGGTATGAAGTAATTCAAATCACAGTTTTGTTATAGTACTTTATTGTAAATCATTCACAATACAGCTTTAGGGCTGCGACGAATCGATACTAAAATCCTTGAATTGAAATGAAATTGATCTCGGTCTGCTGCAGGGTCTCATTACTGAGCTGATGAACAGGGGTAATAATTGTATTTCGCATTTGAACATGTTCTTATGGAATTTCCGCAATATTAATAATACTTATTGTTGTTATTATAACATTCCCGCCCGCTTCCTTTTTTTCAGCCCTCTTCTTCTTTTTGCCAATGCTGAAACATGAAATACTGAAAGAGAAAACAAGTATGACATACGCTGGTGTAGACCTCGTTGCTTTCGTGTATGATGGCCACCCTTGTCCATCCGTACTCCTTCATGATGGCAATCCGGGGCGTGCTCAAACCGGACTGAGCCGGATTCGTCCGGAAGAAGTAGGGGAACCGCTCCTTGAAGGACAGGACGTCCGATGTAGAGCTGGCCGACATCTGGAAAAACAAAAATAAATGCATTATGGGCAATTGACAGAGCTTTCAGGAGCTCAGTGAATAATCCCGAAAATGTGTATTTGTATACATCCAACATCTAGTAATGTTCAAGGAGATTACAGACAATGAGTTTTAGATAATTTCTCTGAATTATTCATTATATATCATGGGTAATTGACCTGTGACGGACATTGCACTTAACGCTTGGGTTGCCCATTTATTAAATTCAGTTTGTAAATTCAGGAAGACAATTTCAAATAATCAAACGAATCCCAAAGGGAAACTGAATAGGTGCACACATATACAAGGTGTTTCAAAAAAAGGAAACCCAACTTCAAAGAATGAGTATGGACAGACGATATGTTTACAGGCTATAAAACTGGTATCATCTGAAAAGCGTAATCTCTATGCTTTTCAATGATACCGTGTTGAGGTTTTCTGAGTCATGCATCACTGAGCATCATTGTCTTAAAAATAAGATGCAAAAATGCAGTTGGTTCTCTTTCATAAAAAAAAACCCACCGGGCACGATGTGCCAATTGGTACGGAAATGTCTGTGAAATGGCTTGAATGTTCTCCTCGGGAAAATGGCACATTGTTTTGAACGTGGCTTGGTCAAAACGAGAAATTCATGACAAACGATAAAATCCAGTTTTGAAACCAACCCGAATTGTGTTTTGGTTTCTTTTTACGTACTCGTGTCTTCTTCTTGAATACTTTTTCTCATGCACACCATGCATATTGTGTTTGGCATGAAACGGTGAACCAACTGCAATTTTGCATCAAAATCTCATGACAATGGCGCTCAGTGATGCATGACCCTGGAAATGTAAACAAGGTATCATTGAAAAACATAGAGATTACGCTTTCAGATGATACCAGTTTCATAGCCAGTAAACATTTAGTCTGTCCATACTGGTTCTTCAAAGTTGGGTTTCCTTTTTATTGAAACACCCTGTACATATTAAATATAACCTGAACAGGGCAATTTCTTTGTTCAATTCACTAATCAACAGAATCCTGCAAACAGGCGACACGCCTTATCGGGGCGACAATTTGGTGTCACCCTATTGTAAAAAAAAACGATCCTTAGGACAAGGCATTTTATTGTTGCAAACCATCTAGATCGATTTCTTGTGGTCCAATCAGTAAAAACATCGAATTTCGTGGAGAAAGGATAAGGTCAACTTGGGTTAGGTGACAGTTTAGTTTTGAAATCAGAATGTTGCCCCCCCCCCCCAAAAAAAAACCGCCTGGCCAGACAAAACCTAACAAAGTGGACAACTTTTATACAATGTATAACATCAACATGCACCCGCCACAACCTGGCACTTGCATCTGGCCGACCCCTCCAGCCAAGACTGAGCAAAGAAACCCATTTGAGAACTTAGATTCGCAGAGCCTATTTCCGGGACGCGTTTCCGGAGCTGCAACACAATAGGGTTCGTACAACGTTTCAAACAGAAATGTCTGTAAACCCTTTTGTTTCTGACAAAATTTCTGAAATGTAAAAATGACTATCATTGTGTCAGTTTCCGCCATGTTTTCTTTACCGGAATAATAGCGTTTCAAACAATTCTCGTTCTTAGTGTTAGAGTTGACTGTCAATTGGGGGCTTCGGTGGAAGTCCGGTGGAAGTTCGGTGGAAGTCTGGTGGAAATCCGGTGGAAGTCCGGTGGAAGTCGGTGGAAGTCCGGTGGAAGTCCGGTGGTGGTCCGGCAGAGTCCGACGACAGCAACTAGGGCTTTCGTTCGCTACATTATGAATGTATGACTGGTCAGTTTTCCTTTCAACGGTTACTTGAGCAATCGAAAGCACGGGACATTAATGAATGTTTAAAGCTACAGTCCATCATTTGTAATTTGTGCATTTTGTTCGTTTGAAACTACAAAAGAGTTGAAAATCTAATGAAGGATACTGAGCAACTAACCTGATGAAGTTTCAGCTAAGCTTCAGCTGTACATTCAGAGAAAAACAGCATTCTAAGATCTCAATTTCAAATCAAAAGTTACTGAATCATGTTTTGAATTGTTTTGAATTGCAGCTATACGCGACGTAGCGCACTGATCCGACGAATTGTAACAACCGCGCGCGCGTGTGCGTCGTTCCAATACTTGTGCGCGCTGCGCTGAATAACAAAACGAACTACTAATTTAAATTTTCCTACGGTGCTTCTTAAGAATCACCGTTGGAAATGCCTTCTTTCGTTGATTACTTCAAAATGACAGCTTCCCAGAAAGAATGATTTCACAGGGAGTTTAGTTCCCTTACTATCTTTCAACCAAGTTTATTTTTCAACAATAATTACGCCAGTTACTTTTCGGATGGCTGCAAATGATGGACTATAGCTTTAAGGAGTCCGGAAAGCCGAAATAATCGTGACACCTAAGGTCTGCAAATCGGAGTAACGCGAGCCGCATATCCTGTACATGCATCATTCCCCCTATAGAATATATCCCAGGTTTCTGGCGCCAACACACTTTGCAAACACAGCGAGCTACCTACAATTATTACTGATGACTCAGTCATTAAGCGTGCAGAACATAACGAGGCTAAGTAGCCCATTAATTTCCATCTTACCGTATTGTTTGGTATGTGACTCTCCGTTATAATATTATAATATAACGGAGAGCCACATACCAAACAGCGACACCGAAGCTTAATGCATACCCATTTTAAAAAGTGGACACGCGGCGGATACGATCTGTAACGATCGCAACACAGGTGCACTTAAAATTCATTGTATGCGCATCATTTGCGGTTTGAGAATAAGTTCCTTGTACAACAGAGCAAGCTCGTAAATCATGCATGTCATTTTGTTGCTTCGTTTCCAATTTTTGTAGCTATACTTCGCTATACACATATTTAGAAGATAAGAGAATGGATTTTTTTATTTAAGCTGGGCTTTGGGAATGGATCTTCCCGTGTTTTAACGTTGAGACTTAGTCTTATCGATGTTCTGTCAAGGATTTATTTTCAATTGTGATTGATGTGGGTTGTGAGCTTTGAGCTGAAGAAGAGCTCTTAGAGTGCTTATTTAAGCTGCGCTTTGGGAATGGATCTTCCCCTGTTTTAACACTGAGCCTTTGTCTTATCGATGATCTTTCAAGAGTTGCTTTTGAATGATGATTGATGTGAATTTTGAACCTTGAGCCGAAGAAGAGAACTTCTCTGAGAGTTCTTTTTGAAGCTGCGCTTTTGGAACGGATTGTCAATGCAATATTGGTTTGATCATCATCTCGTTGTCCACGGAAATTCACAAGCTTACGCGGGTGAGATTCGAACCTACGACCTCCTGTTTACAAGTGCAGACGTCTTACCACTCGACCACCAAACTTCGCAAATAATACAAGATACATTTGTTGTTTCAAAAGTAAATTAACTATGATGGCAATTTGATGGTAAATGTGATTAAGGGACTTGGAAGAACGGTCGGGGAAAACAAGTGAAGAAAGACCGCGGGAACGGGGTCTACCCGATGTTCCCCAATACCTATGTTCCCCAATACCGATGTTCCCCGAAGTCCTTAGGTTTAGGGTTAGGATTAGGGTTAGGGTAAGGGTAAGGGTTAGGGTTATAGGGTATTGGGGAACATCGGTATTGGGGAACATAATTATGTACGCACCCGCACTGGAACACGTCCTTTAGTAGGCTCTATAAAATCCATTTCACTCAACAGCGAAATTCATCACCGGCAAGGACAAGTGACTGAAGTGCACAGGATTCACAATCCAGTATCACATTAGTCATTCATTTTCAGACGGCTACAGAAAAAAAAGATGACAGTTCGATGTTATTAGAGAGCCCTGCCGCCAAATTGTTATCGTCATTTGACTAGGTCTATTAACTCAGCGCGAAATTGGATTGGCACTCACATAGAAAATGAAATTGCCTGCCGCTCAGACATGTGTTCTTGTTGAATGTCAACAACATGGAAATTGAAACTGGCCCAGATTGCATTGTCTGTTGGTTCTTTCTTATGTTATTCCGAGTCTGCATTGACTCTGGGCGAGTCGTCACGGTTCCCCCCAAGGATTCAATGATTCACCCGTAAGGTAATAAGGGTCTGCTCGTAATCACGTTGAAAATTGAGTGCAAGTCTCGCGGGCAAAAGCACAATACAGTGATAATATCCAAGGACCATAATGGGATTGCCGTAAAGATCTTCGGCACGACTCTCCATGCGATGATTTGTTTTACTGCCCACTTGAAATGTAAAATATAGGTTCATCATAAAGCTGTAAAACAATATTTTTTTCGAATGGAGTTTCTGAACATCAAGATCTTCGTCATTGGACAGCACTGGGCATGCCGCAGTTTTACAATTACGCATACTCAGGGCAAAACCAAGCATAAATTGCAATTTTTTTCGGTGGAAATATAATTTTACAGACTATAATCAAGACAAGACAAGTCTATTTAAGCTGGTGGTAAAGCGCCAACAATTCCTTTCAATTGATTCCGATTGGTTTTTTTTTTACTAGAAACAGGGTAATACTATACGATAGTACTGCCCGGTTCTCTTCACCGGTCTACAATATAGTCTAATGCACAAGTGCCAGTCAGTCAGTCAGTTAGTCTGTCATCAGTCAATTAGTCATCAGTATTCAGTGACGTACTTGCAAAGAGGACATTATGCTAGCCCTACCAGTAAACATACAGTATGTCCCAAAACAGTGTCCGTCTGACTATTTTTGAAATAACTACATAACCATGAGGTCAATTTTGAAAATGTTTTGGTTGTGCAGATACTTCTAGGCCTTGGGCTCAACCCTAGAACGAGTTTCATTTAACTTCAGTCTCGCATCACTACACAATTGTCAATGGAGCACAACAACATTTTTTGACACTATTACCAAGTTCCTTGCCTTATTCAATTTCAGTACTGTGTTTTTAAAGTAAGCTGTGTAAAATCCTTCGTGTTGTGAAAAGGGCTGCAGTTGGGATTGGAGTTATTTGCCTGACTATAATTTACCATGACAATTAATTGACATCAGTTT